TCGATCACGTTTCCCGCGAGATATAAAGTCGATTCAAACGGAATTCGCTAGGTATAACCGGGTTACCGGTGAGGTGGGTGTGTAACCCGCGCGCCCGAGAATATTCGAAATTATTAAATAATCGCGAAGGTTTTATTTCCGTGCGGCGTGCGTGCGCGCCCGCGAATGTGTCGGCGTTCGCGAAACTTTGGTTAGATACGACGTGACTTGGTTTGCCCGCACGACTATAATATACGCGGCTACACTTTATACCCTTTTCGGGGCTGTACGAGAAGTTATATATATATATATATAAATACGTATTTTCTTTTCTTTTTAAATTCCGTACAAAATATAGGAGAATAATAATAAAAGCGTAAAGTTCGACGTACCTACGTGTACGTATATATATATATATAATAATACTATAGATGCCTACACATATATACGCTGCTGCTGATGCACTTTCGTTTGCTCGCGTATCAGCGAAAAAAATAATAATAATAATAAAAGTCGGCCTTGAGTATTATCGGAAAAGAAGGAGAGTTTTATTTCCCGGGTCCCTGTAGCGTCGTGAAAAACGACTACGGGCATAATGATATTATGTAGCGGATAACATATTATTTTTGCGGTATAGGCGTGGCTTATGTACGCGTGTTTTTGCGCTATTATACCGTCGGATGGCTTGCGAAAATAAATGTAAAACCTGTAAGAACCGATATTTCTTGGAAGGTGGGGGAGTCATAATTTTAGTATTATATTTACTCCGTGGAGTTATTTATCTCCGTGTCTATTTAACCTTTATGCAAAAGAAGCAGTCAATAAAGTCACAGAATCAATACGAGTAGAAATACAAATTCAAGACAAAAATGTAGATATGCTTCAATTCACAGATGACATTGTGATTTTAGCAAACAGCGAACAAGATTTACGAAATATTATATTAACGATAATAAATGTTATATTTAAGGAAGGATAAAACATGATAATAAATAAATCGAAAATTAACATCCTTGACAGTATAGTCACAACGAAAAAATTAATCTTTGTATATAAACCTAGATGATGACACACTTAAAGTTATTGCTGAATATAAATACTTAGGAGGTATGATAACAAGAAACGGAAAATTTACCCAAAAAATAAGATGCAGATTACAACAGGTGCTTTGCGCATTTCAAAGAAAGAAGGGCCTATTTACCTCCAAAAATATAAAATAAAGAAATAAGAATAAATCTACTAAAGACCTCGGAGCGTAGCGCTTTATGACAGTGAGACATGGACAATAGAGAACTTTGAAGAAAAGAAGTAACATGCATTCGAAGCATAATGAAGACTGCTTAAAATAGGTTATGTGAATCATAAAACAAATGAAGAAGTCTTTTGAAGAATAGGAGAGGAAAGAGACTTCCTAAAAGCCTTGAAGATTAGGAGAGCTAAATTAATTGGACATGCGCCACGCATAGTAGCCTACTAGAAAGAATAATAGAGGGATCCATAGAAAGGAAGAACAGAAGAGAATAATCATCACTCAATTACATGGAACAAGTAGCTAGAGATATAGGATGCACAATTTACTACAATATGAAAGAAAAAGCAGAGAGAAGCGGGGAAAATGGAGGAATGCTACCAGCCAGTTCCAGGGCTGTTAACCAAAAGAAGAAGTCATGAGCAAACACAGGAAGAAATTTCTGAGAGTTGAACAAAAATTATTTTTATATAACTGTAAATTAATAGTGTACTCGTTTTTTTTTTTTTAATTATTTGTATAATTATATAGTACTTTATGCTCCTTGGGAAGTTTAAACCCCTACCACTCCTACATTTTCCACTGATCATGATGATATTTTGGGTACCAATGTATTTATTCAGTGTTCATTTTTCATCAGTTCCAACATGTTAAATCGGGGGGGGGGGAGAAAGAATAAATTACTGTAAACCGTTTGGGCGAATAATTATATACCATTTGGGCTAGTATTTATTTCATTAAATATACCGTTTGGGTAATTAATAATGATCACTAGTTTAAAAAAAAAAAAGAAATGTACATAGAGGTGGTAATATTTCCATATAATAATGTTCAGTTAACAAAATAATAAATACAATCACTTTTAATCTGATTAATATTTTTGAAGTAACTTATTGGTCTGGTATTTTAAACCTAGACACCTTATAAATTGTAACCAGTCAAATTATAATTGATCGACATCACCTCTTTTATATTTATTCCAACTTTTTTGTACAAACTCTTTTTACTGTGGTAATTTTTCGAAGAACATTAGGAATGTTTTTCGAAATAGAAATGATTTTGATTATATTTTCGGTTTAAATTTTTAATAATACTGCGATAACTTGATGAACTTGAGGGTGTATTGAGTAAAATTGTAAATGGGAAATGGAAATGGAATGAATCTGGTCTTTTTATGGTTTGAGATGGTCAAATATTGAAGCTAATGTCTACAAACGGGGAGAGGAAAAACACTCTGAGTTTTCGTCTATGTTCTATATAATATGTGTCTAAGATATATAATCCGAAAAGTGTACACATTCATTTTCGTCTGGTGTAATTGATAACAACTCAGTAAATACATCTCCTATAATTTGACTGATAGCAAAACTGATAGGCCGAAAATATATTTCATTACTTGTTTTCAATACTTGTACCTGATTAATAATGATTAGTAACAATATCGCCCGCGATAAAGTTACCAGGTTTTTACCACACGCGGGCAAAAATAATTTCACTCACCCAAACGGACTATTTATTTTTTAGTTAAAATGATTACTTTCACACAAACGACCACCGCCCAAATAAATAACGAAACATCATTCATTTTACTTTTTCAATTAAGCGTTTAGTATTTTGCATACGATGTAAACGCATCTATATAATAATTATAACATGTTATTACATATATTTTTTTGTTATCTTTAAAAAATATTGATAAATTAAAAACTCTAATTATTATTATATTGTAAGAGTTTATTCGTATTTTATTTGGTTTTTTTTTTTAATATTTTGGAATCAATGCCTATAGGTAATATTATTATATACTTGACAGTTTTTTTTTTCTATTATATTTAAAAACAACATCAGAATATTTATTCTAGCCCAATGAAAAATACGCAAATATGATTAAATTCATTACCCGGAAGAAATAAAATAGTCAAGCAAGATCGATAAAACCATAATACTTGCAACGGTTAAAGTATATAGCTACTTTATTTTATATTTAAATGTTTATTGTTTTAAATTACGTACCAGATTGTGTTTATTATGAATTTACTTTTTAGCTCGAATAAAATAATGTATATGCGTATACTATTTAAAGTACGTCATATTATATTCAAAAATTGTTGGACAATTTTATATTCAAAGTTTGTTATATAAAATATTATGGAATTCAATTACTCGAAGTTTTCACTTCTTATATAAGTGTTAATATTAATCGTAAACTTGTGCCCCATTCATATTTTGTATAGTATTAATTTATACTAAAATTATATAAGTTTCTCAACAAATGTTTACTTTGAGTATATTATATTCTATAGGAAACTCAAATATTGTACATTTAATTCGCAATTTTGTTTCCCAATTCGGCGAGATGTATATTATGCAGATTTCGGACCAATATTGTAATGCATGTTATAAGCCTCAAGATAAACTAAAAGTTCTACCATAAAAACACAAAAGAGATTAGATGATTTGTTCCTGCACCTCAACAGACTAAGAATTTCAAAAATGTGATTAAACTTTCGAAACACGAAGAAACCTCTTTATAAGAAATCCTCATATTCTTCTTCCTGGTATCGAAAATCTCAAAGAGTTTTTGTCACCACCGACAATGCCTCTCCTCATAATTGTTGATACCCTCCTACCAATTTCTTTACACCCGATTTCTTTAGGTCTTTTTCACTCCATCCATTAATCTATCGATTCTTCAGACTATGTTCTCTGGGCAACGGCGTACGCAGGGGTAGAATTCTGGGGCTTTAACCCCGACCCTCTCCGAAATCACTTCCTCCTCTCAGAACATTTTTTTTTAAGTTTTAGTATTAATAGTTTTTACGATTAATTTTAGTACAATTGAAAAAAACACCTGTGCCAACCACGTGCTAAGGTAGGTTATACGGTTATATAAACGTATAGATAACCGTGGTACGCATGGATATAATAAAAAGTTATATTTGTGAAAAAATATCTATGATCTATGCCTATATAGAATATGGATGTATTATTTTTAAATGTATCTTATTATATTCCGTGGTGATACGTAATCGTATTGTAACAATGCGACGATTATGGAGGGTATGTTTATTGTAAGTGTAAATAAACATACAATTGTTAGTTTTTAACTTTTAAAACTATGCATATTGTTTAGTTATTTTATTATTTTATTATTTGGGTTTATGGCATATATTTTATTACTCAAATTTTTTTATAGTTATTAAATTAAGCACAAGATTTTAGGAGTTAAGACAAATATAAGAATAGGAATTTAGAAGAATTATTATGTGTTTCGATGTTGATGTTATTTACTAACTCAGCTATAGAGTGGGAGGCGTGAGGGGCGAACCCCCCATCGGTCTATGATAAATCTATAGTGAAAACCCAAACCAAACTAAAATTCTGCATATACTACTGGTTCTCTTCTTGGTTGGCTTCCACTCAACTCCATTCTGCCTTTAAGTTCACTATTTCACGTTCTTCTAATCGCACGACATTGAATTCTCCCTACATTCAAAATAAGTATTACTATAACATGTTAGTAATATAAAAATACTACCCGGTAATTATTCGTTTCTAAAAATAATCCTACCCAGTAAACATTTTCTGACATTATTACGTGTCTAGCTGTCTATTTGTATGCGAGTCATCTTTCTACTATTCGACGGTAATTTTCAAAAAACGTATATTTACTTGAAATGGCGCAAACCATGATTCTGAAATATATGCGTCACAAAACGCTCCGGATGAGTTTGTTATTGTAACAAAAAACATGCGTTAATTTTTTATTAGCAAACTATTTATGCCACGATATTAAAGTTTATCCCAAAGACCACACGCTTAGTGTACTTAAACGTTTGTGGTCGCTCGATTTCCGTCGGTCTTGGGAACTAGTGCAATTTACCACACGCTCTTTCACTATTCTCACACAGAGTTCCGCGAATTATTTGATAGTTTTCTACTCCGAAATTGCTCTTCAAAGGTACCACTCCCAGTTCTAATTATTTCAAATCCTTTTATCAGCTACACTATTAATAGATTAAATGTCCTACTATTATTGAACCAATTCAATGAGGTTCCCTAGATTCTAGTACACTGCGGATCATGGTCATCTGTACGATTATCCATCTACCCTTCAAACCACCCAAGAACTTTCGTTTCATTTAATTTCAATGATTAATCGTTACATACAGATATATATTAAATTCCCCTCTGTATCCTACCTTCCCGAATTCTTACCTGCAACAGTGGCCCATTTATCGTGCGAAGTATGTCCATCTTTTTTTATAATAATTATTTTTAAATAAAAAAAAAAATTGAAAAACAACCAAGATAAGTAGGTAGGTAGGTAGGTACTAGAAGTATCAACCATTAAAAGTCTGATTTCAACTTAATTTATAATTAGATTTAAATTTCTATTCTCAAAAACTTGAGTTCAATCCGAAAGTTTGGAAGTTTATATACCAACCACGCATATTATTATAATGCAGTGAAAGACGAATATAACTAGGTCGATAATAGCAGGTACTCGTGAGAAAATGGTACACATCATTTCATCTATTGAATCGTATTTACTATCTAAGTATATTTAATCAGTTTCAATACATATTTCGTTTCGCTCAAAAATCTAAAATACCAAATACCAGTTAATCTAAAAATAAAATAACTAATACTGCTAATGGGTTTACCATATTTTTGTACATTGAAAGTTCGGAAGGCGGGGTAAGTAAAGTTATTTAATTTATATCTGAAAGCTGAGATAAACCATTATAAACCGTATGAACCCAATACCAATACCAATTTTAATTTCTTCTTCGATTGATCATCTTAAAAATATCTCGAATCAGTTAATCATCAAATCACGAAAATAATTCAATTCATAAAAATAAAAATAAATATATTTAAAAAATGTGCATGTAGTTCATTACCAATAAATGAAAATAAAAAATAAAATTTAAAGTCTATTGGAAGCAAAAAAAATGTGATGATATACATTTTTTTAACGAAAAACCACTGGACATACTTAAATTAAGTGCTTATTTAATTCATTTGAGTTTTTAATTACAATCACTGGTACGTATGTGTCAAACATTTGTTTATAATTTTCTAGTGTAGAACTAACCAATGTCTGGGATAGATCCGAATTAATTTAAACATGTTAAAAAATTTTATATGTTTTGGGCTACATTTCTCTCTTATAATGACAATAGGAAGGATAGGTATTACTGTATAGGTATATTTACCAAGGCAAGCTGGGTATGCACACACACAATGCGAAAGATGTATTCTATATTGACCTACCGGGGAATTGATATAATTTGGAAAGTGTTTCCTCGAGCAGAATACACGTGATTATAGTTAGGTACCTATGCAATTACATTAGGACCACTACCGAAATATAATATCTAATACAGAACACGATAATATATATATATATAATAATTATTAAAATATTATAACATATTTCGCAATAGATCGATTCAACACGAAGTAGTGACGTAAGGCAAAAACACCTAATTAACACAACTAACACGCTACACGCCACGCGTGAGACCCTCCAGTTTTTACAATAACATGTTGTAAGTAATAAACACTTCGATCAAGGGTTCCAGCATATAAATAGGCGCCACCGACAAAGTCTTTACAGACGAGTCATGAGCTATTAGCTTCGAACACATTTACGCTAAATATTTTTTTTCTGAATAAATTATTTTTGAGAATTAAATAAAGTAACTTATAAATATGTCGACTGTTCTTTTTAATTGACTTGTAAGCTCACCCATAACTTATTGTATAACGGCAGCTCCCAACAGGTAGACGAAAACGTAAAAAAATGCGTTGCCTTATATGTATATAAAGTAAATTTAGGGTTAGGATATTCAAATTTTGTAAAACTAACTGGATGGATTAATGTGTGTACCAGTTTCAACGATTTTACCGGGACCTTTTTTCAGTAAGTACTGCGAATAGGATTATAAACGAAATAAGACGTCGAATGGGTCGAGAAACATTGCAGTCCTGCATGAAAATGAATACAGAAGGATCCTCAGAACTTGATGAAAATATTGTAAATTAAGTATTCGATTTGTACGCACGTCAAAACCAAAACCAGTATCGCTTGATTAAATATATTAAATAATTAATGACAATAATATCAATAAATATAACACGAACATAATTATGACTATAGTTCAGAATGTAGTATTATTAATAATATTATTAAATATCAATTAAATTTGTCTTACACATACAGTTCCCACAAAAATATATACACTATAATATCTCTAGAGATAATAAAGATAATCAAATTTTTTTTTGTTTTTTTTTTTTAATTACTCTCAAAAATGAAGACTACAAATATTTATGTTCCAATATATTTTTTATGTTTTAGTAAAAAACTTTTTATTTTACTTTTTTTGTTAACTTAAAAATATCCACTTTATAGAATTTATTCTCCTGAAAATGTTAACGTTTCAAATTTTTATTTTCATTAAATTCGTGGTTTTAATCATTTTTTTGATGTTCAGAAAAAATCACCTATAATTATGCAGCCGGTTGTAATCGCGTTTGCTTATTGATTATTATTATTATTATGGCTAATTGGCTATCTAGTGTACACTTTTGTATTGATTTGTATGGTTGTAATGTATTGGTTTTACAATTATTTTATTTATCTATTTTTTTATGTGAACACTTTTTTCTACCAAAAATTTGCTCTAATTATGAAGTATAACACTTTTCTGAAAGGAAATGTTCTTGTGGTCATTTTCAAGTGATCATTTTTTTTGAAATTCTCATTAATATTCAATATAGAGAAGAAAATCTGGTCCTTTAGATTAAAAAAGATTGAAAGATTAAAAATAAGGTTGTCATTGGCAACCGTTTTTATTTATTTATTATTATTATTATTTTAATTAATCTTTTTTAAACAATCATTATTGTCATGGAAATGCACATTGTTGAAAAAACAATAATATAGACCGAGTTCTATAGAAATAAAATAAATTTCGATTTCAATACATTCTTTTAACTATTAATCTTTATATTATATTTCTTTATTCTATACTTAAACATCACTATCGACTGAACTCCGCTTAGAATCGTTTTTTCGTTAGCAATGGTTTATTGTTGCTTACAAATATACATTAAATTCCCTTATGTAATCTATCTTCAAAACTTCCCACCTACAACAGTGGCCACCCCCATCTTCAGTATCAGATCTTTTTTTTCTATTTTTTTCTATGAACTTTAAAAAATTATTAAAATCACGAATTAAATGAAAATAAAAAATTGTTATGTCAAAATTTTCAGAAAAATAATCTCTCTACAATGGCTTTAAATCTTCAAATTTTTCAAAAATAATAAAATAAGTCATTAAATTTTATACCAAAACTTAAAAGATTAATTGGAATATAAATATGTGTAGTCCTGATCCTTGTGAGTAATATACAAAAATAAAACAAAATTTGATTATCTTTATTATCTCCGGAGATATTGACTATTGGATAACTATAGTCATTTATTATATGAACAAAAACTACAAAAAATAATTTTTATTCAACTTAAAAAGTTACATAAAATAAAGTGTTGTGCTGAATATTTTAAGAAAGCTTTTCTTTTTACTTTCTTACATTATTTACTTCTATGACATACTCCCTTGAAAATAACGATACCCCCCGGTATAGTTTATTTGAAATGAACACTAAAGATATAGATAGGGTAATTTAATTTATACACTGCAAGTAACGATAAATCATTGCAAAGAAAAACCAATTCTAAATTGAGTAGTATCAGACAAGTTTTTTCTTGTTATCAAGTTAACTCAGAAATCAACAAACATTTTTAATTAAAAAAAAATACCTAAGCAATGAATGATTGAAAATGTCGATAAATGCTTCAAATAAAGTACCAAGCAAAAAATCTACAACTTTGAGATTCAACATGAACAAATCGGATCATTTTTTATACTAACCGAGAAAAAAAACACATCTTAAAATTAAAAGCTTCACTCGGCTAATATCTTCGCTATAACCAGAATGTAAAAAAATATTCTTTAAGAAAACGACAGGCACTTGCACACTAATAAACATATTATAAGTATGTAAATTCGGACCGATTCAATTGTATTAAATCGAACACACTACGGTAAAATATATAATGCTTAAACGTATTACGCCACCTGAATACTTACTGGTAACCGAAGAAAAATATTATTCTAATATATGTGCTCCCGTTTTGGTGATAAAATAATAAAAAAAAAAAAAACGACACCCGAAATAACCGTAAGTGCGCGTAAAATATATTACGTGGGTATGTAGGTAGGTATATAGGTATAATATGAATGAGGTTTGGTGGTTGAGAAAAACTATACCTACCGGATGGTATAGGGAAAAAATAAATATATATATATGAAAAAAATAAATGGTCGGTGATGGTGGTTTTTTACCAGTTCTCGAGGGAAAAATCCCGATACCGCATTAAATAACTTTTCTGAACGATGTCGATTAAACGAAAGTCGATAATTCACAATTAGTATTCCGGACCGGACGCCCGGGCTGTTCAACAGATAAAACGAATGGGTCCCTTTTGTTTTAATCTGCAGAGCAGAATAATACATTAAACGGAAACTTTTTTCCTATAATAATATTAGGTATAAATACTTATGGCTGTAGCGGTGGTGTAATGCACTTCCCGTTTCCCTCTTTCAACGGCCTGGTTTGCCCCGAAACATTCGGCTTTTCCACTTTAACAATAATATGTCCCTTATCGGTTTCTGTTTGTATTCCGCACCTATTGTTATTATATTTGAAACTGCATACAGGGTGATTCATTAATCATGCACAACCGATTTTTATGGTTAAATTTAGTATGCATGATTTAGTATAATTTATTATACGATTTTTGTAATTTTTAAATGTACTTAAAGCCGATACTTTTTAATACTTTGATTTTTCACAATATTTAAGGACATCCTATGGTGATGCCAAATTTTTTTTTTCAAATAAGAACCTATCTTTGTTGTCATTAAAAGTTAAAGCAAAATTGCTGGTAGAAAAGTTGTGTGCAAAAAAAAGGAAGTGTTAGAAAGACTGTACAATTTACAATTTTCGTCAAAATTTTACATTAAAATTCTTAAAAATAAATTCTACATTTCATTTAATTTTTATTTTATTTTTTACTATAAAGTACGGTTATAATGAACAGAATAAAAATTACATAAAAAAACTCGCAAAATTTAAATGTCTATAAATAGCTAAAAAAAAATGGTTAAATTATTATGAACGTCTATAAAAGGCAAATATAAGGTTTCTCTCCAAATTTTAAGTCTACGAATATTTTAAACTGAATTACGACAATAAACAAAGTTTAAAATAATACATTTCGTAAGTTTTCCCGTTGTATACGAAAATATTCCAGTTTTCCGGCTTTTTTTTTCGGAGTTTTCCCAACTATTAAGACAATTGAAAGGAATGATCTTTATCAAAGTTATTATTATTATTAGATAAAATTAGAAACCAGAATTTGATGATCGGAGCATAATTTCTGGAAGGAAATTTGTTCACCGACAGAAAAAACATCAAAAATACACATCTTATTAAAACCAAATAATACTTTTAGATGGAACTCAATTAGTTCTACTTAGCAGTAGGTACACTATAATTTCTAAACTAGTTTTGTCCCTCGAGAGATCAACAATTACGTTAGTGAATTATACTTCCAATTCGTATATATTTACTCGAGTTAATTTGAATCGCTCGAGAAGGGACATAACATTTAATAAGCTTAATTCAACTATTTTGTATACATCTTGTAAATTCAAAGTGCACCTGTATACATATTTAATTTGTCTGCGCATATTATTATCATCTATTAGGTCTACTACCTACCTATTGATAATGCAGTATATGTACACAACAGATACAGGTACTACAGCATCATAGCAATTCTAGTGTTTTTGTAAAATTAAAGCGTTAATTTTTGTTTCAAAAATAAATATTAAATATTATAATAATCTAAATAATATATAATTTAAAAAACGAACATTTACAGTTTGACATTGTCAATTTTTATTGGCAATTTAAGATATCGCAGAAATAAATCATGACGATTGTACTCGATAAGTTATAAAAAAAACAAATAAAAAATTGAAAAGGTTTGTAATCAAAAAATATTATATATTTAGCGAGTTTGTCTTTTTTCGAAATGAGATTTGAATAGCAAGCAATCATATTATTGACAATATAAATATGGCTTTTGATCCTATATAATATTAAATTTTATACTGGAATCACTAGGATTTGTATTTTACAGGTATTTGCATTTGTCAAAAGAGAGGGAGATAATATTCAAGACCATTCGGTGTGCATGGACAACAGATAAATATAAATGCCGTTTATTATTTACAGATTCCGAGCCAATTGATAAAGTAATTGGTTTTGCAATAGTTATATCATATTATATAATTCGTGTGGCTTATTTTACTGTATTTGACGTCTAACGGGACAGGGAAAATCCGAAATAAGTATACCCAGGTATAGTAAAAATAATTAGGATTTCGTCTGAACAAAATTTTAAGGGTAAATGATTTTGTCTGTGCGACGAAAACACGACAAGATAAACGTAAGTTCCCTTTCATCTGTACGACGATTGAAAAATTATATGAGATCTAAATGATGAATGAGTAATATTTACAAAAAAATATCTAGATATCAACGAAGCAGTCAATCGGTTGTCAAGACAAAAGAGAATGAATGAATGCTTAAGATTGGTCAAACAACTAATTTGTCATAATTTTTTTTAAATAAATAAATAATTTACCAACCAAAACTAAATAATTGTATTTTTTCTAAAAAAATTATACCTCGTCCCCTCCCCCACATTTTATATTTCTAAATCTACGCCCGTGCACTACTATTCTGATCGCCACGCCATCCTCCGAACACACGCCGAAAATCTTCAGTCAGCATTTCGCTATCCATTCGTACTTGCCTATATTATAATGTACATTGTACACTCAATATTATGTTAATCTCGCACCACCAATAGAATAATGTACGGCGTAGTATTCAAATCGTTTTAGTATTTTTTTAGTATTTTTTTTTTTTTTTTATTACATACTTTCTACTCTGTGATTGCATAAGCCAGTGACAAAAACACAGATTATTTCCCTTTTGCGTTTTTTTAAAAATTTCACCTTTGTTTTCTGTTACCCAACATGAATTTGCATTTTTTTTGTTATTGATCGGTCATTGCTATGCACAGAGCAATACAAATTCGCGAGTAAAGTTTTAAAAAGGTTCAAGGGTTCCAATATGAAATTTAAAAGTGGTTTTCTTAAATATTTTTTGAAATGCTTATTTGACCGCTTAACGGATCTATTAAACTTTTTAGTTAAAGACTTAGTGAAGTACGTGTTTTTTATTTTTTTAAATGATTTTCAATTTGTATGCGCTATAAAAATCCTGGTGATAAACAGTATAAAAAAATGCCGGACATACGTTTTATCATGGATAAACTGCTGTTGTAGGTAGATAAGGAATTCGGAAGGTATAGAATATAGGGTCGTAGTAGGGAAATCGACGTTCTTCTAGGTAAGTACTCAATTATTATTATGTAAAACCGTTACCTATGTAAGCATTTTGCCGAGCCAATCGAAATGGTAGATTATACTTTGATTCGAGCGTAAACGATTTTTCGAAGACTTCCTACCTACCTACCTACCTACCTACCTACCTACCTCCTGATATATTATTAAGATTACAATCTGCACGAGTTTTATAAAACACGAAATGTTTATAAATCACATTTTATTTTAAATCGATCTGAGCTAAATTAATAAAGATGGCCATTTACGATAGTTCCGTCAAAAATATTTTTATTTTTATTTTCAAATCTTCCAAGGTTTATAGCCCTTTCATAATGGTTGTACATTGTCCATTTATTAACGATATAAAAATAATACGTGGAATTATTACTTTTATTGAGTACTGGTGGTTTGACACACAATGGTTTTATCATTATACTTATTATTTTTTACGACCGATATTCAAATAGGAAATGCGAATATAAAAATAAACTATTTTAGATTCTGAGTAAAACGAAAAGAAATTTATCGAATTCACAATACTCTTTCCGAAACATTATTTTTTTATGATTTTTTTTTTTTTTTTTGTTAACGGACAGCAGGTCAATAATACTGCTACAGGACACAAATTTCTGTCCAATTTCAAAAGTTCAACGCCTAAATCTTTTTTTTTTTTTTGAGTGTTTGAGGAAAAACAAAACGATTACAACTATAACTCTTATAATAGTATTTGGTTTGCAATGATTTACCGTTGCATACAGCCATATAAACGTACTTATAAACTAAATTACCGTATATGTACTACTATTCTTCCTTCTCAATTACTCACCTAGTCACCTAAAATAGTGACCTGAGTAGTAACTACGTTTGTTTACAATATTCATATTATACGAGTACGGAAAACGAAAAACGGAATTATAAACTTCTCTACTCGAATATTATTTTTACTGATTATTTGCCTATAGAAAATAATATAGAACTTGAGTGTATTATTTATTTTTATTTTTTTGGTTTTTGTTAGGGGCTGTAAAATGAAAAATCGAATTACGAAGACACTATGGAAATAATAAACGATAAACATTCAAAAATATTTGTTTTTCGTAAACACATGAATTGGCGTTATTTTAAAGTTTTCCGCTATTGTCAAATTGAAAAAAAAAAAATACTCGTTCTCACGAATACTTGGATCGATCCCAAATAAAAAGGACTGGAGAAAAAAATGCTTCTGGGCCAAAACTATATGTAGCTATGTATATAGAACTAGGTATATGGTAGAGAGGTTCGATAAGAAACGGCCTCAAACACATAATTGTGTCACAATACGCGTGTCACGCGAAGTAACCGTTTCGTTCGACACCGGATCTGGGGACTTCAGGGAGTCTGGGGAAAAATTTAATTTGCCATTTTTAAGTGGGTCGTTGAAATCAATTTTATTTACACCCAAACAACGACCCCGTTTCACACAAAAACTCGAGTGTAACGCGTTATATTATATTACAGTGATATTAATGCAATTTGTATTTATAGTAAAACGCGAGCAGTCGTCGAAATGGATTCAATCAAGATGACTACACTACTCTATCTCTGAAAATAATGATGAAGTATTTTTATTTTTTTTTTTTAAAATCCTTGTTCATTTCCATACAATGAAATCAAATTTTTTCGAGTGTGCGTGAAAAGTAATAATCCGAATTATTGTGTATATTCAAATAACAGACTTTAATATTAAAAAATAATACTGCAGTTGAATACTGCAAAAACCTTAGATTATAGTTCAAATTTGAATATCAATATAGTGTGCCACCATAATAATTACATGGTAATCACAATAAATCACGAAAGTATTTTAATAAATATTAAATTTTATTGAGTCAATTTTAAATATTTATCAATTATTAGTATTTAATCCTTTTGTAATTTTGAATTAACGTTGGAAAATAATTATGAACAGGTAAATATTATTTATTTAAATCTGTATTAATAATTATTTAAGATTAAGATTAAAAATTTAACATTCGCGGAATGAGAAAAAAAGATTGCAAACAATCTGACTATGCTTCGAATATTATATTTAAACGCCTAAACCTTATCTGTTAAGCATATTGAACTACCTATTACGGTGGTAAACAGTTAAGTATTTAAACGCCTAAACCTTATCTGTTAAGCATACTGAACTACCTATTACGGTGGTAAACAGTTAAGTATTTAAGATTTCGACCCGTACATCCCAACGGAAGGGGTTATTATGATGACTATTTGACATTTTCAAATTTTTTCGAATTTATTTGGGTACAATATTTTTGGCTCCAAATAAATGTTCTGAAATTTGATAAATATGATTCCACGTAAGCTTTCCAATGTTTACATTTATGATAAAATCCGTAAAAAACATGAAAAATTTTATTAAAATTTTCACTTTATAATACAAATTAATACAATTTTCAATGTAAATTTAATAACAAATAATTTATCTAACACCACCCAGAGGCTAGAATCGATTTCGTTTGAAATTTATAAAAAAAATAGAAATCTAAACGTACACCATGTTTCTACAATATATAATTTAGCGATTTTTAACGATTCTTGTTGAATTACTCGCAGATTATGAAATTCCTAAAAAAAATTTTTTTCGTAATTTATATTAAAACACTATAATTAATATCCTTTGTACATTATCAAGTTGTGAATTGCAAAAATGTATATAACTTTTATGTTGAAAAAGTGGTTGTTCACCGAATCAGATGCGGTGTCAGATATTGCACTATATCTAACCCCTCCTTTTTTTTTAAAAGCAATAACTTTTGTTTTTCAAATAAAAAAACACGGGATAAAAGTTCATAAATCGTTAGGTATATTAAGTATAATTATTATATTATTACAGTGTTATAAACGAGAAACCTCAAACTTTTTAACAATATAAATTAAAAAGAAAAATGTCCGATATAACAATAATTAATTAATAAAATGATTGAGTACCTACGCGTTCTTATGGACATATTCCTATCCGGTTAAAATGCAATTAAAAAAAGAGCTAATAATGGGGACGGGTGTGCCACTGTTGTGGGTTGGAAGTTGGAAAAGTAGGCAGAAAATTTAATATACATCTGTACGCAACGATTAATCATTAGTAACGAAAAACGATTTTGAGTGGAGTTCGATTAATGGTGTTACTTTTTCAACAATATATAATGTCATATTATGGTAAAATTATTATAAATGCATTGTATACTTTCTTTAATAATGTTTGTTTAAAATTCTATCTATTTTCTTATTTTTTCCGGTTTTTCCCATTTATTGAGTAAACTCCTGGGAAAATCAAAAAATGGCCTGTTCATGTACCACCCCAGTCAGATTTTTATTCAGAAAAAGTGCTATCATTGTAAATCGGAGCAAAATTCCTGGTAGAAAATTTGTCCACAGAAAAAAAAAAAATAAATAAATAAACACCATTGTAAAACCAATAAATTGCTTGCTCCGCTAAGAATATAAATACTACATCACCAGAATTGTGCCATGGGGGGCCCAGGGGGTGGGGGGGGGCAAGGGAGCAAATTTTGAGGAAGCTAAAAATTCATCGGAAATATTTTATAATTTATTCTATTGTTGTTACGGATCACAATCGCAATTATTTATATCACTCATCCAGCGATAACGCCAACGGTTATGTTAGGTTTTATTACAGTTTCCCCAAAAAGATGGCAAGCGGCGGCCATCGATGTCATCACTTATTAATATAGTAGTATAGTACCAATGTAGTTATTATCACATTGTATTTTTAAATGTATAGAAATACGAAGAAATGCATAGATCATAGTTATATTTTAAATTCTGAGTACAGCGAAGAATGTATTGGTTTTACAAAAATGTTAATCTCATTTATTTTATTTTTTTATGTTCGATCGCTTTTTCTAAAAGAAAGCTTACTCCGACGTTTACAATAATGCCACTTTTTTGAAAGTAAATCTAACTGAGAAGGTAATTTAAGGATGTCATTTTTCGATTTTTCAAGATTTTTCTCAGCAAATGTGAAAAACCGGAAAAAAAAGCATGGGAAAACTAGGAAAAACGTAGAAAAAACGGAAAAATCGGTACAATATTAAACAATTATTGTTAAAGAAAAAATATAATTCCTATTTAACTATTTTACCATAATAATTTCCATGAATTGATAGATATCAAAAAAAATGTTGCCCCCCCCCCTAAAAAATATTGGACTCTGCTTGGCCCATCTAATGTAAAAGCTCCAGTGCTGCCACTTTATATTCCCGTACTATATAATTTACTACAGACGCGGCTCCCTTGATAATAAACCACGACGCCCCTGGGAACCGCGATGCACAGGTCAAAACCCATTGAATTACATAGGTAGTGTGTTTATTTAATAGGTACTCAGTGGCGAAGCGTGGCCTAGTGGGTCTTTAGATCGGGGTGACATCGAAAATAAAATAAAATAGTTACGTTACGTGATTATTATATTTAAAAGGAGACGTGGTCTTTTAGTTTATAGCTCATTATTATTTTTCATATGAAAAATGTTCAATGCCATCATTCAAAACGTCACTAATTACGCTTATATTATACTTCTCTCTGCATATTTATGCTGTAATATTTTCATCGTAGAATGGCCCCACAAAAACTATCAGGAGCACAAAATAAAAAAAAAACAAAAATAAACAATTAGAGAACAAATTTTTAACAAATCGTTTGGGAAAATGGTTAAAGAAATCAATTCAAGAAAATCCCTCAACAAATTCGATTGTTAATTTTAATGAAACTAATATAAATGAAGTACTAGACAAATCTAAGTGTAATGGACGCCTAGAAAATCCTGAGGTATTGATTGCTGAAAATGAATTATTAAAGAAACCCATAACAAAAAGTGTATAGTGTAGAAATTGAATACAATACTAAAAATAAATCACAGGTGAATGAAGCAATGAAGCTCAACATACCTAATATATTCTTTATTGATTTTAATGATCCGTCTTATTGACCACCAATTACTGATAAAATTCGTACGTTATTATTTAATCATAGTCCAGAACAAGGGAAAAATTCACTTCTATTTTTCTAAAAACAAAACTGATAAAAGGCATTTTATTGTCAATAGGCTTACTAAAATTCTTTCAAATGGTGAACTTGTTGAGTGTTCTAGGCTTATATTTACAGTAATAAAACCAAATCTGTACACTGTTTTCCATGTATGCCCTTTGCAAATAAAACAATGATTTCATCAGCAACTACAAATCCAAAACAAGAATTTCATAATTGAAAAAAGCTAAATCCAAAAATACCTGACCATGAGAATAGTAATGTTAACCGTATGAATATGTTTAAATGACACAATTTAAATAAAAATAATACAATTGGCTATGCATTGGAAATTGAAATAAAAATAAAAAAAGGATAAGTGGAAACATATTTTCAAAGTTATTATAAAAACTTCTTCTTAAATTTTTCAAACATTTTAGTTAAGTAAAAAAAATTGCATCCATATATTATACTACCCACGAAATTAAAACTAAAAAATACGTTATTTTCCCGATCTTGACTATTTATTAAAAAACACTTCACAGAAAATAAAAAAAAAATTTCCTACTCGCCAACAAAAAAGGTTTCCTGTCGTTTTTTTATTGGAACAGGTAACAGGATTCCTGATAGTAGAAAACATAAATTAAACAATTTTTTAAATAACAAAATTAGTAAAACCGTGACGGGCCGTAAAATATATTTGTCAGTTTTTCCTATATTTTTGTCCGGTTTTCCCGAATTATTATGAAAATCAAAAATTGACCTCTCTAACAAACAACTAGATCCAAAGGCCTAAATGCATATGTGATTCGTTAAAAAATAAATAGGTACCTAAGTACATTTAAAATTGAAAGTGATCGTGGAAAAGAAAAAGGTTACCTACCACTATAAAATTGCCACTTAATATCAAATCTCTGCGGATACTAATGCCCACGATAGATAAATTTCTATCTATTATCGTAGAATAGAATTCTATCTGTAACCATGTTTGTGCCTAAACGTTTTACATTTTAAAGTTTTGGACACTTCCGTGACGTCATTTAAGGGAGACTGTATCACTGATAAGAAACTCATCTCGTCTGATAAGAAACTCGTAAACTCATATTATCTATAAGTATCCGCCATACTGGTGGCCGGTCCCATACTTCATTCAGTCATTTTATCAATTAGTACCTACGAGTGGACTTTATAGATGAAGGAAAATTACAGATACTCAACTTGGCCAATAAAGCGGTTCGCTTAAAAGAGCGTTTACTAACGACATTTTTTCGTAACTACTTTGCATTAATCATCAATTAATTTTTATAATTTTGTCTTCATGTTTACATTTGGCATGGGTGAAATGAACAACAAACTAATACAGCGAATGGAAAATGTTTTTGTTAAAATAACCGAACCATTTTACACAGGTATGAGTATCTATATTTCCTTTGTCTAAGGTAACTATCTAGTCAATTAGTACCTCTACGAATTAAGGCAACTATCTTAATTCGTGATGACCACCTAGGTATTCATTATTTACAATAGTCGCTTAACTTTTATTTATACATATTTCAGTTAGTTTATTTTAATATAAAGAAATTAAAGATTTAGTATGTTAATCCTGTAATGAAAAAGTAAATGTAATACATTTTAATAAGTAATATGTAAGTACACCTTTAATTTCATATTTTAAGAGAACGCTAACATGCATGTACTTTGTTTTCAAGAGTTAAATCATTTTTAAGTGTGATGTATTTATGTATAACTGTACCTACCTCGAGTCCAACAAAAACTCATCTAGCTTATGGATACCTACTACTAGAGTGCCTTGATACTGTACTTCACATACCATCACCCTGCCAAAACATGAGTTGTGACCTGCAACACATGGACATAGTGTTATTATACTATCTTGAACCAAAAATGTAAAATTTCAGTAGTTATCAATACTTCAGTTTTGTTTAGTTACTGAATTATAGTACATATTATAGTCTGTAGATAATAATTTAAATTTTAAATTGTAGAAGTCCTAGAACTTTATTTGTTTACCATTAAAATGTATAATAATATGTATGTAAATAGACTATAGTATTCAATAGTTTTTTTTAAAAAGTATAAAATAAATAACTTGTTTTTACTTAATTGACATTTGTATTTTATAGACTTTCAGTTTTTGTACAAAAATTGATAAACTCACTGATAATTGATTTGATACTAATGTATGAAGCATATTACGTGGATGATCAGGTAAAACTATAATATATATTTAGTAATTAAAAATATGAGTGACATTTCTTATTAGTGATGAGATGTTATGGTTAAAGCAAGTACTTAGTATTTGTTTTAATCCTAGGTGAAAATCAATAATCTGGTGAAAACCATTTTTTTTCTTAATTAATTAGTAGCGAGTAGAGATATATACAAGTATATAGTAACATTAACAATTGTTTCAGATAAATATAAGAAGAAACAGAATATATATACAACAATAAGAAATAAGAAAATGTTGAATGTCAACCTACTAGTCGGTATGAGGAGTTCTTGCTGCACTTCTTTACTGGCAAGTGGCAGATGAAATGCAAAATGCTGCCACAATATAACCTCAGCACTGCCAGAGGGTAGATTATACTGTCTATAATCAATGATATAACTTAATAAGAGAAATTAGTTACAAACGTAATAAGAATATAACAAAATACATAAATAATAAAAACAAGTATAATACAGAGAAAACGTTTAAAACAAAACTCTTTACATCGAAAAACTCTATATTATGTAAACATTATAAAATAATGGTTGGTTTGCTTAATAAACCATTATTCAATTCATTGTCCATAGCATTGTAATCACTCTCAATAACGAAACAATATTTTACAATTCATAATATAATTTTCGTGTTATAAGTCTTAAAAATAATTGGTATAAATTCCGAAATTTGCGTAAATGATTACATTCTTTCATTATTTACTTTTATCATTGTAATAGTATGATTATTATCCATGTCAAGCATTTATATACATTTTATTATCGCCGTTAAACACAAAATCACCGTAGTGCTCTAACAATTGCTACGTGAATATGGCATATAAAAGAAATACATTGTATGTTGATCAAAAAGTCATTTTAATACGTGCAGTAGAAAATGGTGAAACAATAAGTGATGTCGGGAGACGTTTTGGATTCAGCCCATCTACTGTCTCTACTATCTGGAAGAGTAAGGAAAAAATATTGCAGGCTAATACAGAAGGAAGTCCTTACAAAAGAATAAGAAAACCAAAATTTGAAGGGTTGGACCAGGCTTTGATAACATGGTTCCATAAACAACAATATGATAATTTACCTATATCTGGGCCTATTTTGAAAACTACAGCTGAAAATCTTGCTCAGCAACTTGGTATTACAGATTTCAAAGCCTCAGAAGGATGGCTAGGAAAATTTAAACATCGGCACAATATTAGCTATAAGCAAAAAAATAAAAAAGCACAAAATGTTAACTTAAATGTTACTAACAACTGTCTAAATAAGAAAAAGCCAAAATTTAATAAAAAGTTCAATCCAGATAATATGTTATTTGATGTTGATGCGAATGGTAATTTTAAGAAAAAAACACCAAATAAAAGAGAGAAATCTGTGGGAGGTAAACCTCCTAAAGAACGTATCACGACGTTTGTACCTGCCAATGTGAGTGATACTAGAAAAAGAAAGATTATGGTAATAAGCAAATCCAAAAACCATGAAGAAATAGAAAAGGACTTGGTTAAAACCATATTGTTAACTGATGAAAAAGTCCTAAATTCAATGACAAAAGTCAAGGAGCAAAGAGAAGATAAACAGAAAAAACAACATGACAAAATCGTACCAAGTCTTCAACAAGCACTTGATGCGGCTAAATTATTAGAAAAATACTTACTGTTTCATGAAGATGATCCAAAGTTATTCCAAAACATGGGTCAAATTCTTAGAAAAATCCAAAACAAATATTCGCAGAGCAAGTAAGTTCAAACAAAAATGACAAACTAATTTAAATAATTATATGAAATATAATTTGTGTATACTAAAATGATAAATATTTATCTAATAAAATACTAATGTAGTGTAAAAATAATAATGTATATGATAAATAATAATACATAATTTAAATTTTGTGTTGTTTTTTTTTGAACGCTATCTATTACGAAAGAAATCTCTTGGTCCCATAAGGTTCTTTATAGAGAATTTCCACTGTATACAGTCATATTTGAAAGACAGATAGAACTAGAACAGAGACAGACAGTGATAGCAGTAAAAAAAATTCTTAAAAAATATAGAGAGAATTTGAACATCGTGGTTGTTACTTAAGACAATATAAAAGTATGATGTTACTGGGGGCTTATAGTAAAGGCAAATAGTTGTCTACAACAACCTTACATCTGAGCACATTTTAAAGGGCTAGCAGGTAGTATCGGAGTATCAGTATATTGTAGGGAAATTAACAGCACATTAGAAAGTAAAGCAAACTTTTTCTCAAAATAGCCAACTGAATGGAAACATGTGTAGAATATCATGAACATATATTAATTGGTCATAGATAAGATTTTAATAGGTAATAATAATAAAACTAGATTATTATATATATATATATATATGAACCATAGAACAAGCAATAGCATTGATAAAATACTTAAAAAAAATACAGTAAAGGAAGGACCCCGTAGGGAGAAAAAGAAAAATGAAGGTAAAATAAGTGGGTAATTAAAGTGACAGTATTGTGAGACTATATTAAAAAAGCCAATTAAAGGACACTGAATCTGCATAAGAGAAGTTATGAAATGTGGCCAATCCTATCATGTATTTCTTTGTGAACTTAATAGCAATGAGTGGTAAACCTATTTTAAAGGATCAGTGTACAAAATCTAAACAGGGACCTCCAGGAGTAGATGAAGAGTTGTTTACTATAATCAACTAATCTCAGCTAACTGAAGACCTATTAACAAGTGAGCTGGCCTACCAATGAAATCATTGCTTTCCATTGATAAATAATTAAGAATCATAAACATTATTTAAAAAAATATATATATATTAGTTATTAACATAGAGTTTAGAAAAATCTAGTGTAATAAACACAAGTATAAGAATAATTAAACATTATTTGATAAATTTTAAAAAATAAATTCAATTACCGATTAAGACTAGCACTATGGCGATATATAAAGTACCTACTTAATTTGAATAGTTTTAATATAGTTTTTATTATACATAAACAATTAATGTACATAATTATACTAAAGTTTTTGGTCAAAATACTGTATTATACATAGATATGACTATGTATTTCATTAAGTATTTGATATAAATAATTTTAATAATTTAATTGCTTTTGAAAATATATTAAACACTTAGATATAGATTGTGTTTAATTTTAGTTAACGCCTTAAATTTGCGAGTCCTATTACAATATAATTTGTAACGTGGAGAAAAGAGTAAAAAAAGTTTAAATACACTAAATTCAAGGATTGCTAATAATACCCGAATACAAATTTATTGTCAACAATGATTAGAAGATAGGCAAGACTGTTGATGATACAATTACTATTAGAAGACAATTGTTAAAAAGGATTAGGATCCCGTGTATTAACAGAATGGATTTAATTTGAATCGGATTAAAGAAAGGAATTCAGGGCAATCGGTTAGATCTATTATCAAGTTGGGTAGGTAGGTGTATCAGAGTTTAGAGAGTAAATACGAGCGCCTGACACTAAGCGAAGATAAATTCAAAAGTACATTATCGCGTGGCTCATGAACAGGCCTAGAACTATGAAACGCATAAGAAATGAATTGTAAACAATTATTCTGTACTGGCCCAACGCCAAGGTTCGTTCTGCTTAGCTGTATTCTCGATACAAATTAAAGAGCAGTTAGGTAGGTAGGTACATCTGGATATAGGTAGGTGTACCTACAGCGATATATTTAATTATTTGTTAATTGTTATAAATAAGAAGAAAATGTAAGCACATCTTTTTTTTTTTTAATGTGAGTGTTAATTTTTTACAATTTTAATCAAATACTTTCGTGGGCCGATTAATAAATGATCGCGGACCGTATTTGGTCACCACTGGTCTTTAACATCGGACTACGATATTGATCCGAAACTTCTATAACTTCTTGGTTATAGTGCTGTTGTGTAACAAATCTACGTATTGTTGTGACTGTGAGTGGACGATCGATCTTTTACGATTTTACATTGTACGGTTGCGAAATTTCGATCACAAAACGTGTAGCACGGACTGATGCACTATTTATCTATGGGTTAAAGTATTATTATCACAAACGTTATCTCTACATAATAATTTCTTATCACGTCGTCTATCACACACCACTACGAATTAGCACGTAGATCAACTGTCGAATTTCCCTTGACATTCTGCAATAGTTCGCCTCGGCGTCGGTGCCACCTATAGTTTTTTTGTTCGTTCCTCTTTTATTTTATTGTATTGTTATTTACACAATTTTGTCGTTAATAAAATATTGGACGGACGTTCAAAAATTCAAACAGCACGTGTCATTTCGGCACATCGGTCGTCGTATTGTACTGCGTTCGTTTGTATATTATAATATTCATAATAATATATACAAAACTGTGAACCAGTGATGCCTATGCTATGCCCGTTAAACACCACGGTAATTCATTTGTTTTAAATATTATAAATAATAACGAAATTGGATATTTGAGACATAATTTGGGTACCACGTTATGTTGTTAAATTTTATTTGATTGATTTTCTATCAAACGGTTCGGAGTAGGTACATTCCATGTTGTAAACCAATTAGACTGCGGTTATTTGCACGTCCACTTAGAATTAATTATGCATGCACAAGGTACTCGAAATAATGTACCTACTAAATTTACCATCATTGAATTTATTTGGAGTAGGTATGATAAATTAACCTGTTTGTTTTTTTTTCTTTTCCTTGCCACGACTTTTGAACACTATTGCAATAACGTTGTTGCCCTCTCACCGGTTTTTATATCAAGTTCACTTCTCTTCATTGGACACATTGATTGTACTTGTATGGTTTATTTTGCTTGCTCAAACCCGGTACCTAATTGCACTATTTTGCTTGTTACTATTATTTCATTATTTTGATTGGTCTTAAAATGTCCACTGAAAACGACACTAATGTGCCAAATATATTTAATTCTGATTTGTGAGTACAGTTTTTTTAAAACAATACATTGATTGAGAATTATATTCTTTACACGTTAAATATTTTTTTTTTTTAATATTATTATTCAATACTTTTATTCGAACCAACTTTTGAATTGTTGTACTGCAATTTTTATTATTTTTTTTTTTGAATTTTGTTCACCTATAACAAAATTATTTACTTCATTATTATTGCATTTAATATTTATGTATGTATTCAAAGTTACCATAGTAGATAAGTTAAGCTAATGTTAGTTTTTTTTTAAACTAACACTATTTAAACTCCGACTAGATAGATAGGTTAAGCTAAGGTTAGTTTTTTTTATGCTAACACTATTTAAACTCTGACCTAAACACTACAATAACTTATAAAAATATTATTTGATACCTACTTAAAATTAATTAAATTCTTAAATAGAAACTACTTGGTAACGTATGCCTTAGAATTTTATGAAGACATATAAATGTAAAACAAATTAGTTCCAATTTTAAATTAAAATATTTGGTATGTTTGGCTACGCTTCAAATATTGTAAAATTATTTATTTCACTTTGAAACACTCTTTGGTTTTAAAAGATTTGCTATTTGATATGTTTTGTGTAATAACCTAAGAAAATTTTTATACCGAAAACATTTAGATTGATTATTATTTGAATGATTAATTTTTGTTTTAGTTTTATAGTTTTATGTGCATACAAATAAACCTAAAATGTACACATCTATGTTATTGCAATTTGATAAGAATCTGTATGATAAATGGTTTTATTCATTGAAATTATGTGAATAACGCATAGGAAAAATGGTTATATTTACAATTCATAATATAGATAACCTCGTGGTACCTAAATTTATTTGATATAATTATTAATTATTAATAATCACATATTAGCAAGATAATTTATAGTTTTTGCACGTAGCTTGTCACATTATTCATAGTTTCATACAGTATTAAATTTTACTATTAAATACCCAACTAATATATTTTTAATTTATTATTCATAAAAATAAACGGCCTATTTTATTGTGTTCCAGAGCTCCTGATTATGTTACGACCTTAGACCTTATAACAATGCTATTGATAAATGACTATAAGTTTGAAATAACCAGCACTCTCGTAATCATGTTCATCATTATCATGTATACTTCTAGTCATGCTTTTCGTTACTACGCCAAATATGCCTTATTTACAGTATTGTCATACATTTCTGCAACTATATTCATCCCATTAATGTTGAGAAGGCCAAGAGACTATAGAAACGGATTGTAAATTAAATTTATTATATCATTGTTTTTAAAATATATTAATTTGAATTATTTTTTAATGTTAGGTTACCTGCATGGGGCGGACGTCAAATATCAAAAATGTTAGGATTAACGTGGGAAATGAGGGGCCAAGAAAATATTGTACAAGGTTCAGGTTGTGTTGTCTTGATCAATCATCAAAGCTGTTTAGATTTACTAGGTGAATTCATTATTTGTGTTCCTAATTTAGTTTATAAATTAACATAAAAATGTACACTAAACATTTTAAATCATTATTTCAGTGTTATCTGAAATATGGCCAGTTATGGATAGATGCACTGTGATCTCAAAGAAAGAAATATTTTATTTTTGGCCATTTGGTCTAGCATCATGGTTATGGGGTACAATATTCATTGACCGGTTGAATGTAGCAAGTGCTCAAAGTACAATAAATAAAACTGGACAAGCTATTCTCCAAAGAAAAGTAATTAACGTTTATCCGTTTCAAAAATAAATGATTTTAGAATAAGTACTAAGTTTCTTATATAACAATACAAGTGGTAAACTAAAAACGATAATCCATATTTAGATTGTATTTATAGTTATTATTTTTTTTAAATGTTTGTTATAGGCTAGGCTTTGCATGTTTCCTGAAGGTACAAGACACGGAGGGCTAGAACTTTTGAATTTTAAAAAAGGAGCATTTCATGTTGCTATTTCGTCACAGTGCCCCATACAGCCAGTAGTTGTATCACAATATTTCTTTTTAGACCATAAAAAACACATTTTCGATTCTGGTAAGATATAATTAACAGTTTACGCATACAAAAATCACTATTGTTAGTATTATTTTTTATTTATTATGTTTGTAATCAATTAATTTTTTATTTTTCATTTCGGAGCATGTTATAGCATTATTTATTAAACTATTAAATTAAAAATATGTTTATACTTACCTTAATATCTGTATTGATCTTTTAGGGCACATTGTTATAACAATATTACCTCCAATAGCCACGGAGGGAATGACCAAAGATAACATAGTTGAGCTCATTGAGAAATCAAGAACAGCAATGCAAGATGTTTATACAAAATCTTCAGAAGAAATGAAAACAAAATATTATAATATTAGCTAAAATGAAATTTTTATTTTTAATTTCTTCTTGCGAATGTTTGACTTTTATTATTAGTATACTAATTATTCTTAGTAACTATTAGCTATGTGCTTATAGTTATGGATATTATGTTTAATGTATGCTTTACAGTATTTTTTTTTTTTTTTGACAAAATGTATAGTTTTATAACATTCATTATAAATTATGAATGTTGAACAATGCTTCTTTTTTCTTCATTTTGTAAATGAATACTATTGCACACCAAAATTATATAAATTTATTACAAACTTTTTTGTCAATATTATTTTTATATAATCTTAAATTTTTCATCATATTTACTTCTAATAATATAATTATAATTGAGTTGAGTGTGCCTAAATCAAATTGAATGTAACAGATTGAAAAATGTGTTTCTACATTTAATTTCTTATAATGTGTATTTATTTTTTAGTTTAAAATAATTTTTCAATTCTAAATGTATTTGCATTAATTGTTAAGTCTTGTAACAAATATATTGATAAATTTGAAAGATTTTACATACGAAAATTAATCTTAGATCTTGTTCTTTAAAGAAATCTACAGTACTCTAATACCTACTATTCCACCTTCAAATTTAATCTACTGATAAGAAGATTTTTTTGTTTATATAGTTACACATATTGATAATGTGTTGTAGTAGTATTTATACTTTATAGTATCTGTGTATAGGAATAAGATAATAATAATTAAAATAACTAAGTAATGATTACAATGATTACAGATATACTAAAATATCCAGTTTTTACAACAAATTATGTAAAAACTAGAAGTCCTTGGCCTTAATAATATAAGTCACACCCTTCTCACATACAAAATACTTCATATAACAGGAGTGCTATGTAATGTCTATTTGTATACAACAATACATTATTGTTAACAAAACAATTCTGAGCAGATTTCAGTCCACGGAAATTTAAAAAAAAAACATCTTTGTAAAACCATCAGCTTCTTTCTTTCACTCAGAATCTAAAACAGCGCACAACATAATAAAAACAATTGGTACATTCCTGGAGTTTTAAAAAACTAATTCAGAGTTTAACGTGATTAATGAAACAATTTTTTTTTTTTTTAATGCAGTTTTCCAGCAACTCCGCGTAATTTTAAAATACATAATACATAGTAGGTGTTCATAGATTATAATTACTTAGATAAGCATATAATTATCATAAATTATAAAGGTGATGTGGTAGGATAGGTCAGACCTGTTTTATTATTAACCGGTTTTGAACGTCATCGGCTAGGTCTCGATCGTACGGACGTAAATCGGTTCCGTGGAAATGACATTTTTAACTGTAAGAAATTAGTATATCTGTTGCGTCGGCCGTCGGGTTCGCCGAACTTGTTTACATGTTGGTTGATTCCGCTGACTGATAATAAAATAACAATCGAAATATAGGTACCATACGCAGCAACACCACATATTTTGAACCTACTGCAAAAATCTTCGGTGCAAAGCGAATTTTTAATTTAAAGTTGTAGAGTATGGTGTAAAATATTATTGACCGAGTGGAAAATGTTCGCTTTCAAAAGTTTCAGTTTTACGATATTTCATTACTTTGACGACATCAAAAATATGTCGTAACACTGGATAGATAATACGAAAATCGTGAATTATTTTGTGGATTTCCTGTACTCACACTTTCACTGCATGATTTCCACTTCCGTAAGATTCAAGATAAAATAAACTTATTTTTATACGATATTTATATTATACTTACATAGGTAAAATATACTATATACCTACCCGTAGTACCTTTTAGATTCTGAGCGGAGTGATTGAATGAGGAATGGTAGGCGGTACTTATTGATTTTACAATTATGATTATTTTTTTTTTTCTTTATCAGCGAACAACTTTTCTACCAGCAATTTTACTTATATTTACAATGATAGCACTTTTTGAAACGAATTTTAACCGAGGTGGTACTTTGAGAAGGTCAATTTTTGATTTTCCTAACAGTTTTAAAAAAACAGAAAAATGTAGGAAATATAGGTATTAGTAAAAAAATATTACGATCTTTTTTTTTTTTTTTTTTTCGTAAACAACTTTTCTACAAGCAATTTTGCTCCGATTTTCAATTATAACATTTTTTTTTTTTTTGAAAGAAAATCTGATTGGGATGGTTCTTTAGGGGGCTCGTTTTTTTCGATTTTCTCAATAAATTGTAAAAACCGGGAAAATAGGTACAATATTATGCAAACAAATAGGTATTATCTATTAAAGAAAATAATACGCATTGCATTTGTAATTATTTTACCATAATATGACATACTAACGACGACCTACCTGTATACGTACATACTGATGATAAAGCAACACTATTTAACTGAACTACACTCGAAATCGTTTTCCGTTAGCAATGGTTAATCGTAGAAAGGCAAATACAATAATAACAATTTTAAAACGAAATACTTACTTACTTAATATTAATTAAAAAAAAAAAAACAAAAATTAATAATAATGTGTCCATAGAGGCCCACGGACGTATAAACTAAGTTTACTAAACTAGTAGTATAAACTAGTTTATAAGTCTACGCGTAGACCGTGAATATGTTTCACAAATACAGAGCTTTCCATTATTCGTGTATGTACGTACCACGGTTATCTGCACGTTTAGACGACGTGTACGTTACGTACTTACAGCTGCCTATCTTAGCCCATGATTGTCGTAGATGTTTTTTTTTTTCTCAATTGGACTAAAATTAAATGTAAAAATAATCAATGTTAAAACTAAATAAAAATTATGAGAGTAGGAAGAAATTTCGGTGGGGACGGGGGTTGGTTAAAATGCTAGAACCCTACCTCTGCGTGCGTCACTGCGGCACTGAGTAATAAGGTATAATTAACGGTGCTGCTAGTAAATAGGTAATACGATTGTATCAATAACTCAAAACTAACTACTCAATATTAAATATTTAAAAAAAAAAAAAAAAAACTACTGTAGTAAAAATTTTCGTTTGTTTCCGGGTGACCGGGTCTTACTTACTTTGCCTACCAATTGTAGCAAGAAGTTTAAACAGTTTGCACCGTTCTCTCTATGCATTATACAGTCCGTCATCGAAAAGTCTTCGTGGTCTAAAGAGCTGTGCCAAAGAATTACACTTGGGTAATATTTCTTTCGATCGGGGTCGCATTTCAAAACACAAAATGGGTTTGGTGCCGGGTACTTAGATTCGTCTTTTACATTTTATTTTATTTTATTGTTGATTAGTATTTGTTCAATTTGTTTCTACAAAATTACTTTTATTACACTGCGGCGGCCCGTGGACAATATTCAATAACAATTAGCAACGTCGGTGTTAAACTACCTACCTAAAACGCGCAATAAAAAAATCTTGTGACAAATATTTATTATTATATTATAGAGAATATACTTTATGATAAACTAAATAAATCTAAAAATAATTTACGACAAAGATACGACGCACGTCGGTGTATTCGGTATCTACCGCTCGCACTCGCACTAATGTTCGTTCGTTTCTCACGCTTTGACGTGACACGGAATGTTCGGGCCGCGGCGCTCTTGATATGAATTCATTTTATGAATTGAATCATAGCGAAAAAGATTTTGTCTTACAGAAACAACACGAAACGGTCAAAATCCAAACAATCGATTTCGGTTGAATTCGATCGAAACCGGTGGACGGGGTCAACGTTGAACACGGCCTAACGGTCTTTATAAACTGGGGATTTATCGATTCCGTTGTTTTTTTTTTTTTTAATGGGTATCGGCGAATCAATTCCGCGGGCCATCGGCTCCGCGGACATCTGTGCATGATGATTCCGCCGGCTAATAATATATCAGGTAGAACAAACGGGTTAGAAACCTTGAGTGTTGGATTATGTCGAATAAATCGGAGAAGAAGCCGACTCGACGATTGATGGAAGGATATTTGAAAATTCCGCTTTTAAAATAGGCAAAATAGGGGGTGAAAGTCAACAATTGTTTGGAACGGGAGGAATTAAATTTGACCGTATAACGTAAAATACCGCCGGTTAATAGACTATAGGTAATCGGTGTAACCCTAGAGAATACGATTTTTCAAGAGGCGCTACATAATATAACTATTATTGTGGTACCTGCTGTTAGGCTAGAACGCTTAATTTTCCTACTGAAATAGTTATATTTATAAAATGCAAAACGCATTAACCAAACTAAATACAATATTACGATATTATGTATGTACGTTATCCCAAAGCGGAGTAGGCACCTCGTTGGTTACACAACTTCGTCTACAATAACGTGAATCGTTGCGGGTTGATTTTTGAACAATAGCTGGAAAGTGGGTAGTCCGCGGACTAAAAGCGGTTCTAGTGTATCATACGTGTTTTTTACGTGTTTTTTCATTCGTGTTACCATAGATACCTGCCTACCCGCACAACACAGGAATTGAAAACTATATATCCATACTCATAGAGTGATCTATTTATGTGGACATTAATATTGCTGCGGTATTGTTACGATGCCGAAAAACACGAAAATTCAGAGATGACGTATTACGTGTTTTCTGTTTTCGCTACCCACCCAGTACAGCGCATAGGTTTTTTCATCCATGTTACCACGGTAGCCAATTCTATTTCAAGCCAATAATAGTCAGGTAGACTCTATCACGAAAATAGAAATACATTTTCGTACGGGCAATAATAACATGATAAACGATTTTATAATTTTTTTAAAAATAAAATAGTCATCACAAGAGGTATTTAATGTGATAGGTATGCATTTAAAATATATTACTAGATCACCTTGCGTTTGGATTGAAATGGAACAATCTTTGTAGGGCGAATCCACTCCAGAAAAAAAAAAAATTACGATGTCTACGATGCACGGCTATTCAAACTTGTCGATCAATACGACGAAAATGCATCTGCATTGAAGTATTTAAGAGGGGTGTCCCACAATCTCAAACTATAACTTGAATCGTAAATTTAATTTTTTGTTTTATTTTTCATTAAGAGGGATTGCTTACGTTCTAAAATTAAAATAAAAAATATTTATATTAATCCTGGAGACATTTTTTATTGGACATATTTCTTACGGGAGGTATTCTTAACTGTAGATATTTTGTCGAAGATAATATGGCCGGAGATATTTTGTCGAAGATAATATAGCCGGAGATATTTTGACTCGGAACCGGCGGAAGTGGTTCTGACGATTTTGATGATTTATTTATCTACTAAAAAGGACGGGCATATTTCGCACGACGGGTGGACAACTGTTGTAGATAAGAAGTTTGGAAGATTGGATATTATACTGCAACATTATTAAGGAACGATTCCTTTTTATAGGAACGAGTATTTTGTATAAATATTTAATTCTTTCTGGAAAGTCTTGTACAACACTTACGGAGAGACGAATTTCGTTTATCACGTTTTTAATCTAATAGACGAGTTTCATCTAATCAATTTTCTGTTGACACATAATATTGGTATTCTGTCGGTTCTGATTAGTGATTACGATAATAATTCATGAAACCATTTAACCATGGCATTGTACTATACCACGAACTACGGTATAGTTCATCATAATACGAGTACATCACGAACGATATCAAAACTAATAACAAGGAAAGAGTTCTTTTTTAAGGATAAGGACGAATAACGAAGAACGGGAACGAATTCCTTTTTTTTTAAAAAAACAGTAACGTTAACAACACTAGAATATAGACGGCAATTTAATGTATAACTGTAAGCAACAATTAATCATTGCTAACGAATAATGATTCTGAGCGGAGTTCGATAATAAATGTTTTAAAAGGCCGTAATATTTACAATATTCATCAAAATTTGATTTTGAAACTTATGAAATAAAATAACATTACGTTACACTCAATATTTTTTATAACCACTAAGTACGAATTATAATGATTCTCCTGTTAAATTTTCAAGTATTTATGTTAACAATTTTATTCACAGAGTACTTAGGTATCAAATAAAAATTACGTAAAAAATTTAAATATTTATAAATAGCTTAAAAAGGCTCCAATGTTTTGAACATTTTACTAAGTTTAGAAAAAGCAAATATAAGTATTTTATCAAAATTTCAAGTCTACACATTTTTTAAACTGAATTACATAAAAAAAAAAAAAACCAAATTTAAAATCAATAAGTTACCAGGCATCTAGCTAATTCGAGTTGGCGCACAGAACATCAGACTTGTATAGGAAACCATACAAGAAACAAACCTTTCTAAACAAATTTTTTCAAGACCATTTCTTTGGCTGTTTTTGCTGGATAAATTCAAGCACCGGTATGTGTTTTATTACTGCAACTTATCACACGGTTCATGTATAACAACATTGACAACAAGAGACAGAAAATACAATGGTTATATTTTTAATGAACACAGCCATTAATATTGATAAAAAAATATGACAACATTCATTTATAAATAATATACACGTCACACAATAAAACAAAGTTTGTAGCCATTTTATATTATACAGTTGATAGGCTTATTTAAACTCAGATAAATTTGGTCAATTTGCAGTTTTAAATTTTTGACAATTTTCAGTAAAAAATTGTCTATACTAATTTATATTACTATGCATATTGTATATTATATGTAAAACCTAAATAATAAAACATGAGTTTTTTTTACATCTTTATGTAGGTGTATAAACAATAATCAAACAATATGTTGCACACAATTCAAATACTCCTACTCATACGAACATTTAGATTTCCAGTTGACCTTTGATCAATTGATGACTTCGATAATTGTTGAGAAAAAGCCATTGCTATTGTGTGGCTACTATTTCACTGTCTTAACAAAAAGTATTTTTTTCATTTTAACAAAAAAACATAAGGTAAATTTAATTTCAAAAATATAATGGTATTCAAAACACGTGTAACAAGAAATAAATAAATTTCTTTAAGATAAATTAGGTACATAAATATCTTATCAAATACAATAAAAATATATTTTAACTATAATTTAAATGCTACAATATATAATATAAATAATAATAAAAATAATAAAACATTATTGGTCTCGGCTAACACCACGTATGTTATTTGGGCAAAAATACACTTCAAACAATATTTGCTTTCAAAGTAGTAAAAAAAAGAAAAGAAAAAAAGTAGCCTTACATCATAGAAGTATTTATTAATGACTGGACAATCAAAATTGACAATTTATTCTCGTTTTAAGTATATATAAATTATAATAATAAATAATATAATATGTAAACATATCACATATAGTTTGCTGATATTGGTATAAATGAAATGCTGTAAAAAAGCATCACTTCTTTGTCACACCACACATAAAAATATATTATATATTCGTATTATTATTAGATTAAAATAAGTTGACAATTTTGAATTTAAATAAATAACATTTTTCTTATAAGCAGTAGACATAGTCAAAAAGACGGACTCGTGCAGTATACATTTATTACTATTACCTTTATAGTACTATTTAAGAACAATAATTCACCATAAATTCATGGATATATATATATATATATTATATAGACGCATTGCACGTACTATTGAATACAATTTTGTGTATGCGTGTTTAGGATATTTCTATTAAATGTCCCGTTTAGAGGGAGGAACTAAATGGTCAGGTAGTTCAACTGGTAAGTCATGCCCTTCTAGTTTAACTTGTATTAAATGCATAGCTAACGCAAACTCGTCCATGTCCAGAAAACCATCACCATCAGTATCAGCTAATTTCCATATTTTGCCCAGAACTGAGTTTGGTAGTTTTGACTTAACCATTTCTGCTTTGGCAACTGTAAAAAAAAAAAAAACATATACATAAAAAATAAACTTACAATAACTGTATTGTTCACTTTAGGTATGAACATACCGGCTCCAGATAATTTGCCATCAGACTTTTCGAGAGAAGAGAATATTGAATCATATTTCTGGCGTTCTCTAGCTACCACCCAACCGGTTTCTCCTTTTCCGGCATCGATACCTTCTCCTCTCTTGTAACCAAACGGGCTGGCCTTATCCTGGACACTGACAAATGCACCACCTAAAACAGGAACCAAATAATTAAAAGTGAATAAGCTATTTTTTTAAGAAATAATAATTATTGGTAGTTATGTCTTACCTTTAATAACTGTGTTTGGTTCGGTATCTCCGTTTTGTACTTTACGGTTTTCAATGTCTTGCAGAGGAATCATTGCCATCAACTTGGCAATATCGTTAGACAACATTTTATCAACCTCTTCCAATAAATGTGGTTTTAGACTTTGAAATTTACTAAAATCTAAGTTGACCAGTATTGACTGACAAAAAACAAATAGATCAATTTTTTAATAAACAAAAATAGTATTCGTCCAGAATGAGAAATATGTAATAAGTAGAAATAGAATTTATATGTATTGGTATGTTTTTTTTTTTGCATATTTCAATTAAAAAAACGTGAAAAATTCATGTTTTATTGTATACATTGTTACATGGCATTTCATTGCTATGCAAAAATACCCAAAATGCAATTTAATTTATCACATCGCATCTTATCGAAGGTTTTATATTATACAATTAATAACTATACGGAATAAAATTATAAGTCCAAAAGTTAGTGTGTGTTTGACATTTTTGACGTTTTTAGTGTATCTAAATTAAAATTAGAAAGTGTCTCATCTTCACTTGACGAAAGTTTAAAAAACACTAAATTTAAACTTTGCTAAAACAAAAGAATAATTGTTGAAAAGGCCAACAAAAATTTAAAAAATATATGTGTTAGAATAAATAATCTGGATGAAGGTTTCCCCAATCTAACTCCTGGGAAAGTAATACAATTTAAACACGTGAAAATTACGTCATATGATATTCGAACAGTTTTAGTAAATATAAAAACATCTTAAGATCTAACAGAAGATCGTTGAAAATTTAAAACATCATGCAATCGATTTATGTACCAATACATTTGAATAACGTTAATAATTGTAGAACTATATTTTTTTTAGATTTTAGAACTTTGTGAACATTCTTTTTTTTCATTTAATAATATATTAATTGGTATATTTTTGCATATTTTTAATAAACCAAATGCATATTTCATAAATGTTTGTTACATATAAAACCTAGCCTTAGTACTAAGTATAATAAATTTAAAAATTCATCAACATTCAGGTATGATAGTGTGTTTACCTGCATTTTTTTGATATCCGGAAAGTCTCCAGCTGAAATCTGCAGTTCTCTTTGAATATTTTGGTAAATAGTGCCGAGGTTTTTGATTAATTCCTTCTTTTTAACATCCTTCCTAAACATAGTAGGCATTTCTTTATGTAATGCGCTGATTATGTAAGCATGGACCTGTAACCAAAGAAAAAAAATGTCTATACTATAAATATATATGTGCATATATTTTTTTGCTTAATACAAAATTCAGTAACTAATGTCATTAAATTTACACATTGTTATAATATAACTAATTACTTTGGCAAGTCTTGCGCGTTTTATCAAGTCATTTAGTTTCCTCAAAGCTGCGTTACCAGGTAATGACTGTAAATCCTTGAACAGATCTTGTTCTTCATCTTCAAACAACCTACAAAATAAAAATAAAAATTGCAATGTAATATCTCAATGTTATTCACAGATCCCAATCATCTATTTTATTTTATAATCAATATATCAGTATAGTATAGACAGTTTTTATTTATTTAATTTTTGATAGTAAATAAATACAAATCCAGAAACCATACATTTTTAAATTGTATTCCAAGAATGTTTTGTATAAAATATTAAAAACAGGAAGCACATTTTGTTTTTAATAAATAAGAATTATTTATTTGATTATAAAATACAATTATCATAATATTATTAATGATAATATAACGGGTTTACATTTCATAAAGACCAAACCACTTTGTAAAACTCTGGCATCAAATCTAAATCTTGGATTAAGAGGAAGTCGTACTGGCACGTACTGTCATTGTCCAACTACTATAGTAAAATTTACATGAAGCAGACTGCGTAGAACTCTACTTAATTTTTATTTTAGAGTAAAATAACCTACTATATAATTAAAAAAGGGTAATATTCCGGAGGGCAAGACGAATTTTTCCTATTATACTAATTATTATTTGGAACATAACGTTCAATATATTGTTTAGAAATTAAGACTAATTCATCGTTTTTAAATGACTAACAAATCAAAAAATGAATTTAAAAAAGAAACACATCGTCTTGTGTCTTGTCCGCCGGAATATTGTTTTTTTTTTTTTTTTAATTTTATTATAGGTGCTTTTACTCTAAAAACAAAATTAAAAGAGTTCTACGTAAAGTAAATTGTACTATATTGCTCGTAAGTAGTTGAACTGAGACAACATATGCGGGTAAACGTCCTTTTAAAAGATGTTTTTAATTTGTAGAACGATGTACCGAGATTTAAAATATTTTTGATTATGTATCGTAGAAAAAAAAAAATCAAATGATTAAACTTCATAGTAAATTTCGATTGCATACTTTGAGTATAAAAAATTACATAATATCATGAAAATATATAATATGTATCTTATAGTTACAAAATCACTCGGTGACAGAAGAGAAAAAAAAAAATGCATCTATGATGTAGTCGATTACTTAAAATTCGATAAAAAGCATAATAATTTCTGAGAAAAAAAAAATAATTAAAATTCGTGGTACTTGATTACTACAAGTTTCTATGGTTCGAAATCTACATCCACCAAAGATAATAATGCATGTATTATAAAATAACTTTGTTACAAACGAGATAATTGAACTTAATTAAAAATATTTAGTGAATTTGTCAATGACGAGAACCCGGACACATCGTACTATTATTTATTTCGTGGTGTTCCGTGAACGGGAATACGCGTCTACATAGAAAGTATTGAGAAAGCCGTGTCCTACAGTGGTTTAAATCGAATATTTAAATAGGTACCGCAACGTTTTTCAATGTTTTTCTACACTTTTGTGACCCTCGTCCCTGGCAACTCGAGTGCGACGGCAGCCAACTGTCGGCGGTTTGTTTCACCGAGAGTCGACCAATCGACGCGGGGTGCGAAGTGGTACCATTCATTTTTCGAGACACGTTCACTTTGCTCGTTTCACCGCTGTTTCACTAGGTGCTCTTATTATAATCTTACTATAATGTTCCTACTATCCGTCTATAATAATATCACGCACACAAATGTCGAATTTTCACGCCGCCGCCGAAGGAGGAATTTTCGATTTTTTTTTTTTTTTTGTAAGTGAATGTGCGTTAAGTACTTATAATTTCTAAAAAATAATAATCTTACAAATTTGGCGATATTCATCCGAATAATATAATTACCTATTTTTTTTTTTTTTTGGTTTTTCACTATTTTCTTCCTGTTGCTGTACAAGCGTTTACAGAAAATAACATTGTCAATCTATTATAATAGACGCATTTTTATACCTCATGGTCGAAAAATGTCCGATGCGTATGAGTGTAGAGCTATTAAAATTCGCATGCAAGTACCTATACATTTCCCAGCGCTGCACAAATTATCCTTTCGGAATTTTAATTAGGTACTTAAAAGTACCTGTGTAGTGTGTAAAAAGGTTGCTAAACCTATGCACACATTAAAGACCCATGGAAGCTACGCCCCCACAATCCTCTTAACATGACTATTACAACAGTCAACGACACCTTAATTAATTATGAAATACATAAAATATTTAGTCGGTACTATGAAAAAGTTGATTGGGTTTTTTGGGCGGCTAGAGACCCCCTAGCACCACTCCTAGTTGCACTTAAGATAACTTGGCTTCTGTTATAGAGTTTGATTTCGTTAGTAAAATAATTTACGAGTTTACGTTGGAACTTAATCGAAAAAAAAAACCCTCGATTTACTATGCAAAATCACGTCGGATAGTTCAGAGGGTAGTCACGAAATAGCACTGATTTTGTGTATGAAATAAATCATTGTACGAGGCATTTATAATTCAAAACAATATCATTGCAATTATTCGAATTATTTACACTATAAGTATTCCTCATCACGGAAAGTCGCTGTAGTGAACGAACTCTACCAAAAGACCCGCGGTTCACATTGACAAGCGATGGGCGACAAAGGAGGCGTTTATATTCATTAGTGCAACGGTTCTCAACCTTTTCGTATCCGCGTACCATTTACACATTTGAAATTTTTCACATGCCACTTTGTACGGTTATTGAGCTTCTTCTTTTTCGTTTTACTTATCAAAAAATCAAAATGTGTACATTATTTTACATGTATGCAGGAGCGGAATGGCCCATTTGGAAATCTGGATTTTTCCAGATGGACCGATACTCTTGAAAAACTATGAGCCAGCCACAAGTTAAATATCTTATTCTATATATTTAATAAAATATATTGAATTTTACTTAAAAAATGAATAATTATACACACAAGTTGGGAGAAAAAATAAATATATGATACACAATGTTCAATTATTCTTCGATACGTTTTCAATGGCAAAATCAATGAAAAAATATTAACTGTTAAATGTTGTTCAAATTCTACTAGAAAGGATGTGATGGAAATTAATATTGACAAATTAAAATGCATATGTGACTCTACTAAAGAACCTGTTATGGTTGCTGACTTTTTTAGCTTAATCAATTCATATGATGTTTTTTTCAAAAAGTCATATCAGCGAATGAATTTATTTAATAATTTAAAAAAATATGTTTATTGGTTTTTGTTGTAATTTTAAATATTATATAAATGTATTTTTATATCTTATATGTTTATGCATTACTTAATTATTTATCATAAATATATATAAGACACTTGTCTTCTAAGTTGTAAGTGACCATATTCATGTTTAATTTTCGAAATAGTTTAGATTACAAATTACTTTGAAAAAATTATAATTTAAAGTTTGGGGAACTAACATTTTTGTTTATTTAGCCCTGTAAAGAATTAAATATTTTGTGATATTTAATAGTTCAAAATGCCTAAAATATGTCTTAAATAGTAAGTGGGCCACCTAATAATATTTCCAAAAATGAATTTAGATCCCACTCCGTCCCTGTATGTAAGAAGCTATTTATTATTAAACCTACATAATTATAAGCATTTAGTACATAAGAATTAAATAATATGTGCAGTTATTATTTTTATTAATATTTAATGAACTACATTATAATTAATCAAATTTTTGTTTTTACTTATTAAAACATTTTTTTTCGCGTACCACCTATACGAACTTTCTGCGTAGTAATATGCGTACCGCAGGTTGAGAACCACTGCGTTGATTATGATATTAAAATATTTTTTTATTTACCAAAGTGTCACTAAACAAATAAAGTAGTTCAATGTTACATAGATATAATTCTAATATTAAAAACAAAAAAAAACTGTCAAGTACCTAGTTCATCAAATGTACCAGTCGTGGCACTTATTGGCGAATTCCATCACACGCATAACAATTTTTTACGTCAGCGTTCAGTTCATTTTCGAAACTTTTGAATTTTGAATTAGTAAAATTGTGTCAACAATTCTAATTCCCTCGCTCAAGTAGCTCAAGACCATTAAAAACACCACTGCATTAAACTATGTGTGTCTCAATATCTATTTCAAAATCGCTCATCGCGCGTTACCCGTCACTATTGCTACCGCGAAACGGACCCGCAGATGTATACAATAAGTTAGACTGCTAGGTGAAGTAACGATCGGCCATGTTTAATTCGAGGTTCACGGGCTTTATCATCCACTCGAATATTGTGATGACTAATATAACCGTGTGTCGATTAACCTGGTTATTTTTGCTATCGGAAATTGGTATACATGATTTTGGTCGATGGTTATAGATTTGTCGAAACGACAATGTTTATGGCCATTAGAAATAATATTGATTAACAATAGACATTTAAGTTTGTAAGCGTTTAATTCTTAGGCCTTGGCATTTATTAATTTCGTATACTGTAATAACTGTTTTTAAAGCATAGGCATAAGTTAAAAGTTTACCTATGATTGTGGATTTAAAAATAAGTACTGGCTAGATATACCTATACAATCGTTACTGTTTATTAAGATGACTGGTGCACCACTGTAAAACCATTCCACAAACGATTATTACTTGCCGACAACGGAGTAGATGCCACTGAGAGAATAATTTATTAAATTTTCGATAGACCGAGGATTCGAGAACTCAACGTCCGCATCAACGCGGATGGGAATTTTGCCCGTCCACCTAAACAAATTTCAACAATTGTACGAGTTTTAAATGTTTGTTGGTTTTTTCCTCGGAACGTTTTGTTAGTTCTCTTTTCTTTTTTTTTTTCAAATTACAATAGGACTGCTATAGTGGCTCGTCGCGTTTCTCGCAAACAGTCTAATCGGAGCGGTGAAATCGAATTAAACGCGCGATAATAATACAATATTATAATAGAACTCGATCCCCCGTCGTAAAAAAAAAAAAAAAATTGGCAGATCACCGACTATATACTTTACGTAATCAGCATTCGGCGGGTACACACACATACACACACGTTTAAACCGAGAGAGTTATTATACATTTTTTTTTTTAATGTCATTATTTTGTCACTGCAGGCGATTTTATATCAACCAATGTCAATAAAATTACATAATATATATCATACATAGATAAATGTCGCCGCACTATATATTGAATCAATAGGCGATACACAAAAAAAAAAAAAAAAAAAAAAAAAAATATAACGCGAACCGACAGCTTTTAATTTCCTCCGTACGGAATGATGTACAGAAATGAAAGGTGCACGCACGGAGGTATACCTACGCGGGTATAACAATAATAATATGGGAGACGCGTAAAAAAAATAATAAAAATGACGTTTAATAGTTTTATTTGTTCGCGGCGAAACGATTTCGTTAGCGCTTATCGTTAAATATAATATTTGTTTTGCAGTCGGCGTACAGCATTTGCATACAAATGTCTCGACGCGTATAAAAACGTACACCTACGTGTACTACACGTTACAGTTTTACGGTCAACAGCAGATTTTTGAGTATTGTTTCTGGCACGGTTTTGTTTTGTTTTTTTTTTTTTTAACACGACCAGAATATCCTCGGATCCGTGTACATGCTCGTATGGGTTATTTAATATTTATTCTGAATACCCGTAACTCATAAATCTCCATTGTACCTAATTTTAATACACCGAAACACTCGTATTCACGTATTACTACGATGGGATATAGGACCCGGACCGATTGGCAATGGCAGTAGTAATATGTGCACGCAGATATCGACATAAACTGCTGCGGCTTGCGGTACAGACGGGGGGGAGGGGAGGAGGAGGAATAAAGGACCCGGGCCGATCGCCTCGCCCGTTGACTATTAGGTATTTCGTATTGAACAATGGCCATTAGATAATTAACACGCAAATAACTTTACAGACAAGATGTACCTGTTAAACAAACCCGAGATCGCCGGTTCACTGTGTTGTATTATGTATACTAGATAATATTTATTTTTTTTTTTTTCGAAATAGAAGTTACAACATTCGAAAATCAAAGGTATTGAAATAAAGCGTAAACAATTTTATAACTAGATCGAACAAACTATATATAATAAAATTTACTAAATATCCTCCGGGAAAATAGCTGAATCACGATGATAAAATAAATTATAATATTTAATGCGCGATCGTGAAATTATAATTATCGCGTTAATTATATTACATTATAATCGGAAATACGGTTAAAATAATGTATATCTGTAATAACAGTGGATTATACACAACCAAATTGATACATTTTTATTATTATTATTAATATTAAAGAGAGAAAAAACGTCAAGTAACGGAAGAGTTTTAAATCGCGACCGATAAACAGCCGGGCATCGACACTTTCTCGGGGTGTAATATAGCACTGAATGAGTTCATACATCAAACAAGTTGCACGTCACGAGTCATGTTTATACTCGCATACAGTGTTTCTTTCAGACATCTCTCCGGGGGCGGGGGAGCCGAGCCCTCTGGAGGATGTCCAAGGCCCCCCTCTCCCGGAGAAAATCTAAATGCGAACCTAATTTTTGAGATTTTGTGTATTTAGTCATATTATTCACAACCATAATTTCAGAAAAAGGTAAAATTATTATCAAGCAATTTATTTTGATTGATGTGATATAAATGACTCCCCCCTCCTCGTTTTTTTTTAAACGCCCTCCCCCCAGAGAAAATTGTTTGAAAGAAACGCTACTCGCATCTACCGTCTCAGTCCAACTACCGGGTAACATGCAAGAACAATGCATACGCAGAATAAGTAAAATTATCTTGATTTTGATGTAAAAGTACCTATTATAGCATATTTTACAGAGAACAACAATTTGGAGACAATGTCATAGGCGTTTTTTGAATTATTCAAATATGCAGCTCGATATGAAAAAAAACAAAAACCTTCTTTCCTAAATAACCGTAATTATTTTAATAGTTCATAATTCGAAAAAAAAAAAAAATAAAAACTATGGCATTCCCTTCGGAATATTATTCTCTATAAATTTCATAAAAGGGTACTTTTACTCTAAAATCAAAACTAAGCCAGTTTTACTTGTACTACGTAGGCATTGTTTTTGCATATTGCCCGATAGTAGTTGGACCGAGACAGTAGATGCGGGTGTAACGTCTTTCTAACAGTAGTCCCGGACAGTAGTTTAATTATTGATAAATTAAACGTTTTAGATTATATTTAGAATTTCGAGCGCGTAAACAAAATTATAGTATTATTACGATTAGACTAAACTATACTAAATATATAAGTAGCTGTTACAAACGAAAACAGCATAAATATAGTGCTGCGCGCGATCGTGTTAATTGCTTCTTGGGAATTCGATGTTTTATGGTAAATAAATAATAAAACAAATAGACGCGTATGCACTTTTTACTCGACGGCATTGAACGTGAGAAAACGAGATGGCGGGTTTTTTTTTATTAATTGAAATTCTAGTCAAAGCACGTACCTACCATCCACTCGTATGACTCGAAAAGAAAAGAAATGTTGCGGCGGCGGCGCAAAATACAGTTAAATTCTCGGTTATATTGATTTCTTTTTTTTGGATTCTGGGTAAAATGAGACGAAGCGAATCTATTCGGGTTTTACATTTGGTTATTTTTTATAATACACTTAACTCGCCGATCCAAATTAAAAATTGTTCGGGCACAACGATGACTTCAAAGATTTCATCCAACTATAGATCCAGTTGTTGATTAAAAATTAGACACAGGCGAATCCTTTAAGATGTTTTTTTCTTTTTTTTTTTTTAAATAAGTAACAGTTTTTTCTCAGAAAATCGAAAAATGTACAATGGCCCACTGGTTTTTAATAAAATAGACTTTGATAATGTACTGAAAAAACAATTATACAATATATATATATACACAGAGTGTCCCACAAAGATATACCCATTGTATTATCTTCGAAAATAATTTAAGTAATTAAATTCTGGTTTTTTTTTTTTTTATATTACTCACTAAGTAATATAATTTGTTATGTTTTGGTAAAAATTTTTAAATTATTTTTGAAAAATTTAAAGATAGTAATTTTATAAAACACAAAACATAAAAAACCCAGAATTTGATTATCTGAAGAAATTACAATTGGTATATCTTTGTGGTACATCCTGAATATATATACATATAAATTAAGTATGATTTTTAAAAATCATTTCAAACTTTTTTAAATTCTGAGCATAGCATAGTGAAACACGTCCTAGATGTGGATTTCAAGACATTTTGTATATTTTTTAACTATTTATAACCATTTTAAACTGTTTTGGTTTAGTTTTATGTGGATAAAATATGTTTGGTTGTAGAAAAATGAGACATTTAATAATTGAATACAATATTTTATACTATACAATAATTTAATACAAGATTTATAATAAAAACATTTTTATGACCAAAAAAAAATATTAAAAATCCTTTATTGAAATTTTTATTTTTATACGCATTTCAAGTACCAATTTAGATTACAATTTAAATGTTCAACAATGTGAGAAATGAAAACATGGACAATTGTAATTTATTTTAAAGTTACAAATTAATACAACGTTTAATTTATTTTATCAAAATATGTTAGACTGAACTTTTGCTCAGAATCGTTTTTGGTTAGTAATAATTTATTTTTGCATACAGATGCAAATTTAATTATTCTATGTATCCTATCTTTTTAACTTCAAACCGACATCAGTTAACCTATTTAGTGAAGTAGGTATGTCTGTCTATTTTTTTATTTATTTGAATATATAAGTGATATAACAGTTTAAATACCAAACACCACACATTTAAATATATTATAAGATTAAATTTATTTATTATATAAATTATATATATTATTTTATAAAATGAGAAAAATTACCTCGGATAATTTATGCTATAATAATAGTAATAAATCACTTGGTATATACATTTTGATAAAAAAAAAACTTTTGAGCGTAAACCTTGAAATGTGAATGTATATGTTACTCATATTATATTCAATTTTCAAACATCTTTATCTAGAATATTGCATAGTTTGATGCCATGAAATTGTGAAAACTGTAAAAATGGAAAGAAAAAAATACAAGTAAGAATTTAAAATATTTTAACTTCAACTGACCCATTCAAAGAACAAAAACATTTTTCAAATTATTAATAATTATTGCGTTCGAATTTTAAACAATATTATTGGTAAGTACCTCTGTTGTTAGTCAAAGTAAGTAAAATGAGAAAGTTTTCAAAATATTACCTACCATATACTACAGTTTGTTATTTTATTTTGAAATAGGTAGGTATCATTTTATTTTTATATAAAATCGAGTCTGCACATTCATTTGTACAAATACTTTAACATTAATTTACATATCATTATTATTATTCACTGAGAGATACATAAGATAACATATTGATGCTATAAAATAATTTTAATTGTTTGTTCTTTGTATGTATGTTTTAGCTTTGTTTAAAATGTTGATACACACCTAACTACTGTTCAAACATTTTAATATAATATTTGTATACAAAATAAGGACTATCATCGTTTTGTTAGGTGTTCAAAAGTATTCTAATAGAGGTTCTAACCCTGAAATTAAAAGTACCTATACAAATAGGTACAACAAATTAGACAAATTATAAACCGTCCGTGCATTGTGCTTAAATTGTATGGGCGTGAACAGTAATTTATCTATTTATCCTCATACACTTAAAAAATATATAATATAACTGTGCAGTTGTTTTTTTTTTTTGCCTAAATATAATAAAAAAACACAAATGAGAATTTTTTTTTCTTTTAGATTAGGTAATTATTAAAAAAAATTATGTATAACTGAATTAATGTAACATGTTATATATTTTGAACTTTAATTCATTATAATAAATAATATTATTAATTTTATACTATAAAGACAACAGGTTAAAAAAAAGAAATTAATTATTAAAATTCTTTTGCAATTAACTAAGTTATATACTTACCTAATAAGGCAAAAACTTATATTATTAATGCTTGTAATGTTATTGAGATAAAAAGACATGCAATTATTTGTATGAATATTAAAACCTCTGTATTGCAAACTTAATTTTGTTGACTTTAAATTACTATTGAGAATTCAAATTATCTAATCTAGGTATCTACTCATGATGTAAACTTCTTATTTATAAATTCACCTATATTTCGCTTGAGCAAATTAAAAAAAAGATTAGGCAAACAGATATTTATTATTTAACATATCTGCACATATATACCAAAATATTGTGCTTTAATATTGTTATTAATACCTGTTCTATCAGAAAAATGTATTTATAAAATAATTAAATATGAAGCATTACTACTAGTAATGATTCACCTCGTGATTAAAAATGATAATATTAGTACCTATAGGTATTTAATGTAAATAAATAAAATCCTATTGTTTGTACAATTGTACATAAAAAAAAAAAAAGTTTTTGTTATGGTGGAGGAGTTTGGTCTTGAAAGTATTGACCCACTAACCTTGTTTATCTACTTAAGGTAAAAAGAAAATAGTGCCTAATATGAATAATATCAAATAGATTTCCAATCATTAGAAACTGGAACAATCTAGTGACATAATTAAATGTGAATTGTTTAGTTGATTGTTTTAAACTTAATAGCTGATCAAAGACATATAACATGTTTTATACATTTGTAAAGACAATCTAGTTTTATTGGACTAATTACCATCAACCGCACAAGATTCATAACAACATAATATTTTTAATTGATTTGTCAAATAAATTTAATACAAAATATTATCTATTAATATTGTAAACCATATGATTAATATTAAATACATCCTATAATGTAACTTGGTAATATTTTTATTGTGTAGTCGAAATTAAATAAGTGCAAGCAATTAGTCTTTCATTTTATGTTTGAACCTTAGAATCATAAAAAAACTGTTTCCTCGTTACTATTCTTTGAGATAAAGACAGTCTAAATTAATTTAATTTTAGTACCTATAAACATTAATATACTATTATTTCTAGGTGATAAAAAATAAATACTAATAAAAGTTTAGGTTCGGTGTTAATTATTATAGCAATTTTAATTTGCATCAAACCAAATTAGAAATTCTTAAAAATGTTTAATAATTTATTTTAGCAGGAACTAATTTACATTTATGCTTTAGTACCAACACAAATCTACATTTTTTTTTTTTTTTAAATTGTCTACCAATTACTATATTAGATTATGTGACAGCAATTAAATAATTTATATACAATTATAACAACTAGGTATTAAACTACATACCTGCTTGCATAATAATGTAATAATCAGAATAATAATTAATCTTTAATTAATTGTACAATTTAAGATCTAGTTATTTTTGGAATTCGATTTATTATTATTAATAAACTATAATGGCTAAAGTGTAACAATTACAGGACAACAAAGTGGTTTGATCGATTGTAAAATTTAAAAACAAACATCAGTCTGCCTATACTTTATACGAGTTTATAGTTATACCAAGATTGGTTTCATGTAGGTATAACATAGGTAGTGCATATAATGACTATTAACAAGCGTAAATAATTAGTTTATTAAAATAAATTGACATTACCTTCTGTTGACATCATATCTCAATGGTTTGTCCCAAAAAGATCCTATATAAACTCTGGCTACTTCAGGAGTTTGTAGAACTTTTCCCAAGGACCACATCAGAGCTCCATACACTCTCATTAGTTGTTGGTGATCAATCATATCGGCTTTATTTAAAATAATTCTAATTTTATCATCATGACCTCGTAATGCTTCTATTGATCTACGAAATTCATCTGATATATCTAATTTGTGGGCATCAAATAACAATATAATTCTATCGACATGTTCAGCGAACCATTCTAATACACCAGTGAAGTCATAACCTCTGTCTACTCTTTGTTTCTCTCCAGACAAAATACCAGGAGTATCGACAATTGAAATACCTTTAAGTACAGGTGAATTCACTAGAGAACATTGAAACCGGTTGAGGAACGCATTACCAAATTTCGATAGAGGCCTAAATTGTCTTTTGGGGTCTACTACTAATGCGTTGCCCGGAATTATGGACTCGTTGTCGTCATACATAACGGCTATAAAACGATCGGTGGTCGGCTCAGGTCCGATCCGGATGCCCGGAAAATCTGATTCCAATAGATGTTTGATGAATGTAGTCTTACCAGTAGAATACTGGCCGACCAATAATATCATTGGTTTGGCGTCAAAGTCGGGATCATCCAGCTGAGGCGAGTGGAAATCGTGAAATTGATACGCCAGCTCTAAGGGTAATAGTTTGGATTTATACTTTTCTCGCAGTCCGTCCAGAACGGACTCGTATGTTTCGATTTTTTTGCCATCGTCTTTTCTCAGCCAGCCCAACATGATTAAGTGCCTATTCGCATACAGAAAAAAAAAAAAATCGCACAACACCTCACGAAACGAACATCATACGCGCACGGACACTTATTGACGGGCTAAACGACTGGCCAGATTGTATTAAACGAACAGTCACTGCTATAGTCAGATAATAACAGTAATAAAAAAAGAAATCATATCGAGTGTTATTGTGTGTACCTCCGAGTTGGATGTTTGCTTATCAACAAACGTGACGCGCTAAAGCTCTTATCAAACAGGTGTACCAAACTACGCTTTTCGGCAAATATTACCGTACAATCGTTTCCAATGGTACAATCGCGGACTAAGATTATGCCTCAGTCTGTGGTTTCAATATTTATTTTTTTTCATCACAAATCAAAGGCTTTTTTCTATTTCTATTGCAAACTCATCAAACTTCTTAAAAAAAATAAGCCACTGCCTACAAACACAGCTAAATCTTTAAGTTAAACAATACATTTTAAAGTAAGTAGGTATTTAAATCAAACTCGACAGCTAGGGATATAATCAGGAATATTTTTTGCGTACAATATCTATCGTTACCTCTGGTTTTTCAAAGCAATCAAATATTTTGAAACTTTATAAATGAATTGAAATTTATAATAAAAACTCAAAACTGACTGATTTTTACTACAATCCTATGAGTGTTTTAATTATCTATCGTAGCTCACTGTTGCAAGTCCAAAATTCCAAACTTTTTGTTTATTAATTTCTTTTTAAAGTAATATCTATAGGTTTATAGTCCATTTTTGTGTCCTCCCGAGTATTGCGCCCTAGACGTGAACACCACTTCCCTTCCCTTGCTACGGTCCTGCCTATTAGGTTTGATATTAACCGATCTAAATCATTTCCACAATATACCTACTCAAAAGCAATTACTTAATACGGATGTACTTAGTATTATATAAAACTATAAATATTAAATGAACTCTAGACAATATGGTAAATGGTAATAATATGACGACTCATAAAAGTTGCATCGATCGACGTTTGACCTAATAAAACACTGAACGCCCTGACACGAATAATATTTATATACATTATTAAATTGTAAGTACAATATTATTATAGGTTTATAGTATACATATAAAATGTGCCGAGTGTCTATAGTATATATACCTAAACATTAGAAACGATCAAGGCTTTATACAAAACCGCGGAAGTAAGTAAATACGTATGATTCATTGATGATGAATGATGATTCACAATAGCTACTAAAACGTCTAAAGTTATAATATAGTCATATTCCATATAGGTATTTTCAATATCATAGGAGTGGCTATAGACTTTTAAAGTAGGTGTTTCTTAATATTGTGAACGTCTTAAAAATATCTTGATAACGTCTTTAACGACGATCAACACGTAGATACATTATTACTATACCTATGTGATTACGATTTTAGTAACTTTTAAGTAATCGGAGAAATGTGTAAATGCTGTTATAAGATAGCATTCCCTCTTCCTTTCTCGGAAGATTTTTCGAAATTCAAAAATGTATTTATACTTGGTAGTTAAGTTGTTTACAGACAGCAAAAAACGCATATTATAGTGACGCTCAGAATCGAATAGTAACTACTATTCGGGCCCCATTTGAATAGTATAATAGTATAATGGGTATAATTGTCCTGGACGCCAAATTTTTGAAAGGTTACACAGTTAATATGATAGAGAAGAAGTACTTATACAGGTACTAAATATGTTTTTATATTATAGGGAGTTAAAAATATTTTTCCCCTGCATACTTGTGTATTCAATTTTAAGATCATGACTTACGGGGAGGGGAACGAATTCCTGCATCAACCTCCAAAAAATACACCCTTAGAGCAGAGGCGCAAACCATTTCGAATAACTGGGAATCAAAATATTAGTTACCAAAATACCCACCCACCTATATTTTATTTTATGTTTGAATATGAACAATAGCTAATAACTATTATAAAATACAATTGAATTCATATTTATAAATAATTTTATAATATATGGGTAATAATATTCTGCAGGAAATTATAGTAATATTATATCTATATAGTTATTTTTATCATTCATTCCTTATAAATCAAACATAATTTTCTTTAAAAATTTATTGGAAAAAAAAAATTATTAAGTACCTACCTATTTAATATTTAATTGTATGTACGTATATAAATGTATAAAATAAATGAACTTTGTAAATGGAGCAATATAGTTTACAAAACAAACATATATTAGAAATAGTATAATATATAATAAGAAATAATGTCCTAATACCTATACTTACTGACTATCATATAAGTAATGAGATTATGATGAAGCAGTTTAAAATTTAAAAAAAAAAAAATTCCAACTATATACCTATAAAGTTTTGTAATCAATTCGTTAATTTCAATGAAACTCTTGTTACGCAATTTTAATGTAGGTTTACTTATAAATTTATGTTGAAACTTATCTAAGTAGGTAGTTATATTACAAAAGTGTATATGACCCATAAAGTTCTTCGGCGGTTTTATAATTATGAATATTATGTAAAATACAGTATACCTACAATCTATCGCAAGGCACTCATTATCTCGGAAAGTGTTAACTTTTTTCTGAGTTCGTTTTATAGACAATTTAAAAAACAAGCAGCTCTACAATTTTATATTTATGTTATTTTTTGTCATCCTTATTTTTGGGGGTAGAACAACTACCTACTTTAGATTTTCAAATGGCAACCTATATTACAAATTCCATAAAAAGACCGAATATTTTTTTTAAATAAATTTTGGTGTTAAAGTTTTTGATTTCCGCCATTAAAAATTGACGAGATATTCCACTTAAAAGTTTGGGTCGGGGAAGAATAATATGGTGCATTATTATTTAAAAAAATATTCGGTCTGTTTATGGGATTTTTATCCCCAAAAATATGAGTGAAAAAAATAACCTAAATGTAAAACTGTAGAACTACTGGTTTCTTAAGTTTTTTATAAATTAAATTCCGAAAAAAAGTTTATACTTTCTGAGATAATTAGTGTCTTACGATAGATTGATCACTTGTATATGTCAGGAAAATAAGCTCTCAACAAGCACAACTATTTTGAATCGTTTATAACTTTTGAGGAACAGTAATAGTGCAGTTTTGGTTTAGGAACTCTGGTTGCATGAACTTTTTTTTTTCTAAATATATCTTTAGTTCTTATTGTAAGTTTTCTTGGTTTAATAAAAGAAAATGGAAAGCTAATGCTTTCCATTTTCTTAAATATCTAGGGACATATTTTATTTCATTGCAATTCAATTTAATTTTAAAAAAATACCCATTTCAGAGCATTCTCAATATTTATTTAAAAATTATTGCTTGATGATACATCACGAACATAGGTATGATCATTAGCTTCTTTGATAATCTATACAATATAAAATACCTAATGCAAATTGTAATTATAATTATATGCACCTATTATATATATTTGAAGCCTTTACATCGTTTTAATATTTAAATATATTTTTAATTTAATTTGTCAAATTTTGAATTATTCACAATAATAACTGTAATACCAGTTATACAAATGTCCTTGAAAACTAAATAAATCAAAATTGAATATAATAAATAATTTACTGCAAAATAATCATAATTGTACAAAATGAACAAAATCCCTAGGTACCTCTTTCAATTAAAATATTGATTAGGTATAATATAAAATAAAGTATATAAATTAAATTTAGCTTTATACTATATTGTATAAGCATTTGCACATTTTCATATGTATTCATAAAAGTACTCATACAAATATAAATTAAAATTTAATTAATTTAATTAAAATATAAGGCAATAACAATAATATAAATATTATTACATTTTATATACGTACCTACAAATAACATATGTTTCAGAAATATTCGTAAACATATTCATACCTATACCTAACCTATTGACAATACTATTGATTGAATGATTAAATCATATTACAAAAAGTCTTTAAGAAATATAAGTATAAAATGATAATTTTATATTTTATTTTAATATAGCAATAACGAATACAATTTTATCATGGTAAAAGATTATTTTGATAAACCAATAAGCTACATCGGCTATTTTTTTTAAATGTTGGTTCTCAAAACTGTATATAAAAAAAAATACATAGGTAAATACGCATCTCTATAGTACCTACAGTAGTAGCTTTACCGGTTTAACGAGTATAATAACATAAAATTACTCAAGTTGCTGTTAACATTTGAGAGAAATTTAAAAAAAAAAAATCGTACGCATACGCTCTGTTCGTACGCGTTATTTTGAAATTTACGTTAAAAATCGGGTCATTCGAAATGATGAATAAATAGAAGAATTCCATTTTCCGAGACCGAAATTAAGTTACCTACTTCATAACGTTACTTGCAAGAAAATTATACATCTAATAGGCAAACTTTCTCATTTAATATTACCTTTTTTATTTTTATTTAATTAGGTAGGTATTATTATTATCTATTATTAGTCTGTTAATATATCAATTATATACTATTAAGTAGGTAGCTATATTAGTTATGTAGGGTACCTATAAACAGTTTAAATTTCAACCATCAAAATACAAAGTACCTATATACCGACTTCGAGTAGGTATTTGTTAAATTTTCTAATTAATTTAACTTTTTAAACCACAATATTGTAATGTCGTACGCTACGACACCCGTTAGTCGTTTTAATCTATGAACTATCGTGGTGGTAAGTAATTAGTAAGTAGTTAAGTAATTAATAGTCGTTAGGTTTAAACAAAATTAGTAGGGGAAAAAATTATCTCTTAATAGATTAGTGATTTTTATCAACTTTGTAACTTGTTAATTTTCTGTATTGATAATATTATAACACTAATAATAGTATCTATAATCGTGGCAGGTACCAAAATGTAATCACAAATTGGATAAGTTCTAAACTTATGAGAGTTAGAAGCGTTGAAAATTTTTAATTTTGAACCGTTTAAAAATAATATATGTATATAAGTATAAATACATGTAAAACACCATCGCTTTTATATTTCTATACCTCTTATTTTAACGAATATCTATTTAGGTGTTTACTATTTATATTAGAGACATATTAATTAAACCCAATTTGTTTATTTAGTTGCATACCTATCAATACAATAATAAACGCGACACTTATTTAGTGAATATTATTTAAGGGGCAACATTTAGATAATTTCTAATCTCGTCGTCTCCGCCAGTGATCTTCGCGTTGGTCGTAAACGATCATTAGTTGAGTGTGGTTCAATGCGTGTTTCGCCGCTGTCTCGTCATCGTCGTGGTAGAGTTAGTCGATGGAAGTAAATCACACCCAAACCACAAGGTGGATTTTATATCCACCTTGATTACACTATTGCTTATACCGTTATCACAATTTATTAGATAATGTCCAATGCAGAGCCGGTTTTAGACTTTCGGATGCCCGGGGCAAATCTTTTTTTGAGGCCCTTAGCGGTAAAACAATTAAAAATACCCAATATCTAAGTAGTTAAGGAAAAAATTAAAAATTTGAAAAACTTGCGTGTTATAACTATCTACCAAAGATGTGTTTATTTCCAGTTTGAAGTACTGCTGTTCACGTATCACAAATTTCAATGTTAATTTAAATATAGTAATATTATAATCATTTTATTAAACCTTCATAATTTTAAGAATAAAAATACGTATATTAATCTCATAATATTTTATTTATTAAAATTTTGAAATCAAATCCCCATACAGTTATATTAATTATTTCAAAACAAAAAAGACGGATATACTTCGTACATAGCTGCATCCACCTGTTGTTGGTGAAAAGTCGGGAAGAGAGGATATAGAGGGGAAATTAATTTTTATCTGTAAGCAACGATAAACTATTGCTTAATAGCGGAGTTCAGTTGATTGTGATACTTTGTCAACAATATATACATCATATTATGGAATAATAATTTAATAGGCATTATATATTTTCTTTAATAATATTTGTTTAATATTAAAAATATTATACCGATTTTCCCGTTTTTCCTACGTTTTTCCAAGTTGTACCACTGGAACGTTTATACTTACATACTAAAATATTTTGTGTTCACTAAATGGCCCTTTGCTATTGTTGTCACGTGAAATCTTAACGTATTAATTTGCAGTCCAAATCATATAACACAAACCAATTTTTACTTTTAGAAGCTGATATTTGTTTTTTTTATAAATTTCTTAAGCCAAGGGTCAAAAAGTTTTAAATTTTTATGTAATATTCCGGCATTCGGATGCTCCCCAAACATTTGTTGTCCAGGGCAAGTGCCCTTAAAACCCTCCGTCAAATACGGCCTTGTTCCTACGGTCGTTCCATAGAGTTATTACTCTATGGGTCGTTCTAACCATTCAATTAAACATTGCTTCTCCGATTATTTTATTAATATTATTTAATATTTTTATAAGGTAGGTATTCAATTTTCGTCCAGTCATAAAATGTATTGAACAGTTTATCGAAATGTTAATAAAACAATTTTATAAATAATATGAGTAAGAACTAGCGCAAAACCCTAGGGGGAAGCTACAGTCCCACCTTAATATTATTTTATTAGTAACATGTGGGGGCCTCACCCCCCCCCCCCATACACATCTTGAAATTTATACACTAAAAAATTAACAATATTATTTAACTTTAAATGATTTTTGTAGATTATACAATAGTTATTAATAAATTATTCAAGTTTTATTTTTCTTTTACATATAGTTGTTAATTGTTGTGAAATTTGATCAGAATTTGATTAATTTCTATATCTTTTTTAGTACTTAGTATGGATAAATTACTGAAACGATCTTGGTCCATTGTTGACCTTAAGTATGTACCTATTTATGCATTTATAAATAATTTAAAATGAGTGTATCATGGTAAAAAATGCACGTTCTGATGTTGCAGAAGAAATTGGTAATGTAATGGCAACTTGTATTAACTTACTTGTTGTACTTACTTTGTGCTTAATTTTTGTTCAATTCAAGCACATATAAAGTATTATTTATTTTAAGGGGGCCATGAGTAAATTTGAGGGCTAACCCTCCCAGCCTCTCTAGCTGTGCTTATGATTAAATGAGACGAAAATAAGAAATGCATTTTAGCCAAATCGTAGAACATTCAAAACGTAATTTTCGAATAATTGTTTTATCAGTAACATAATTTGATAAATAGAGTGCGCCACGGTCGTAGAATATGATCCGTTATTAGCGTCTAGAGACAGCTCACGAGCAAATTTCTTATCAATTATAATTGTAATATTTCTTATCAAGTAACCTTATATTATGCATAACAAAATGTTATCAACATGAACATACAAACCACAGAACATTTTACAAATTTACAAAAAAAAATAATAATAATATTGTTTTCAAAATAATAATAATAACAATAAGTATATAAATGTAGGTAGCATAATTTATGTCTTCTTTTCCATATGCGTAAGGAGACCCATCTTTTTCGCTCAAGTCATCTATTATTTGTTTTCTTACGTTTAATGTTGGTTTATTTAATCGTTGTTCTTCTGTTTAATGAAATTTTTCAGTTGAAAAAAAATCGCGACTGTTTTTTAACATTTTTGTTGGCTTACATTTTCATTTAATGAAACAGGAACGCTAGATTCTAGTTCATATAGCATTTTTAAATTTAAATCTAAGGATAAATTCATTTTATGTAGCTGTTTATCATTTATCTGCTTATGACAAACATGCTATGAAATTGCTGAATTTAGTTTGCAATGCTAACTGCTGATGAAGCAATAATTTGCTACATATCAGACATTTTCATACAAATTTCATCTGTATCCATTGGATTAGTATAATCATTTTTGGCGTTAATATCTTTGTTATCTGATATATTCATTTTCATTGCATTGTGTAGTCGTAACATCTACATGAAAATAAAATAATGTACACAAACTCATGTTCAGGGTATTTGATCAAAAATATTATATTATAATTGATGAGGAATTTTGGTTTGGGCTGTCTTTAGAGTCTAGACGCTCGTTAATTATTATGTTATCAGTGATGATTATTTTATCATGATGTTATCAATTTGATAAGAAATTTTGAATTTTTGTTTTTTTCAAATACATATTTTTTAACGTCCCAATCCATTATTTTTTTAGTATTGAAAATATTATTATTGCATACAAATTAATATTATTTTTTATAATATATTAAGTCATATTATTTTCCAACTATTTTTCATTCAAGTATATGTAATATTGTTGTCTGCAATTTGTGATTAAGTACTAAAAATGACAGAAAGGACTACGACCAAAAGTAAATCCCGTAAAATACCAAAGGCAAATCCTTTGTTTGAACAATGGATTTCAGAATGGTTAAAAGAGGCCACTGAAAAAAACTTGGAAGTCCGTCATGGTTATCGTCGTGTGAGTCAATGAGTTTTTACTTTTTAAGTATTCTATACCTTTTTTATTTTAAATACCTATATAAGCAATACAATAGTAAACATTGATTGGTGTTTTTTTGTAGGTACCTCATTTATGTATGACTATCTATAATATATATTTTATTTATTTGTTTATATGATTGTAGGTTTCATAAATTCTGTTTATCACTATGTTGTGAATATAACTGAACTTGCATTTTTATAGGCATTGACTTCATTACAAAAATGTCCATTGCCTTTAAAGAGCGGGAAGGAATGTTTAATTCTAAAGTTTTTTGGTCTAAAATTATGTAATAAAATAGATAAAAAACTCGAAGAGCATAATAAATTATCTCCGGCCATAGGTAAATAAAGAAGTACTTTTTCGATACTAGTTTATTTTATTAAGATAATGTTTCTTTGCTTTATTAAATTTAAATTATTAATTGAAGATGGAAGCATAGTCAATGATACATCTAAAAGGAAAAAAAATGTTGCTAATATTTTGCAACCTTCAACTAGTACCTCAAGTAGTGCTTACAAACCAGATTCAATAATTTCTATGGATCATGAGGATGTGGCTGTTACTGTAAGTAGAAAACAAAATGTTACTAATAAATCACTACTTTTAATGTGATATTTTTGAACAATGTAATTTATAAATGTCATGCAATTTTCCATTTATGGTTTACTAATTTAAATATACAGAATTATAGATTATGCAATTAGTAATTTTTACATTTAATCTGTAAAAATCTAGTAAACTTGTCACTAAGTGTACATTCAGCTAAGCACTATTAACACTATAAATAAGTTAAATATTTCAATTCAACTAAAGAGCAACAATTTGAACTTATGTATGAACATTTTAGAGTATACTAGTTGTAACAAAATGTGGAAAATGCAATCAAATATTAAACAACAGAATTGTTTATATAGTTCTGTTATGAAAGGATTTGTAGAAGTTATAAAAAATATAATTATAATTTAATAGGTAATATTAAATTGATTTAAATATTTGTGTTATTTTTTTTTTAAATAGAGACACAATTCCAACCAGAATCCTAGTGCTGCTGAAAAAGAGAATATTATTTTATGGCCAAATGAATTTACTGTTATACTGCTCATTGATACCGGTGAATCGAGTAGCTTACGGTATGTGTGACCCGAAAAGTACTAAGGTTATAACTGAAATACTATACAATACAATATTAATATTAATAATTAATATCTATGAAATATAAACTTGCATATAATATTATTTTATAGAATAAAATGAGTGATATCGATATTAACTGTTTTAATGAGTATTAAGTTCAGGAAGTGGACATTTGACCCCTTCATTAATTCTTGAAAATGTTAAATTAATTTTAATTATTTACTATTTATTACAAAAGTTATAATTTTTAGAAATTGAAAAAATAAATAAATGTGTTAATAATATAAAATACCTAAAATTTAAATTTTAAAATTAAAACTTTAATATACTATTTATATTTTAGGCATGTGATTATTTAATAAAGTCCATTAGTAAATATAAATTAAAAAAAATATTAGTACTGCTTGAAAGAAATTATTAGTAAATGTTTGTGTGTAAAAGTACTCATAGTAATAAACATTAAATGGTAAATATTAGAAAATATTATTTTGGAGATTCAAATATATTTAGTTGTTAAATATTTTACTAAAGATATCAAATGTCCATTATTCTTTAAGTTCATATTTAACTTTGGTACCAAATTTAATCTTAACATTTTTGCTTACTTAGTACTAATATTTTGTTTTATATCTTTGCAAAGGTGTTTGTTTTGAAAAATCAAGGAGGAAAGGATAGAATGACGATTCTATAAGGTTCTATAACAGTTAAACTTTAATCAATAAATCATTAAATTTCTTAAATTTATTAATAATACAAATATGAGCTAAATTTTAAATAAAAATATTATCAATTTTATATGTTAATATCTATACAAATATTGTTTTATATATAATATAATGAAAACAATTTTGGAAAGTCATGACAGAAAATTTGGAACTCTTGGATTGTAAAATGTTTATTACTACTATATATTTATTTATTATACTTATGTTTTAAATGTATAAAAAAAATTGTTGTTATTATTGTTATGTTTTATATTTTGTTTTTATAGGAAAACCAATATGGATAAAGTTACTTCAGAATTGTCTTCTTTAAATGTAAATTTTGAGATGAGGCGTTTAAGTGTAGGGGATTTTGCTTGGATTTGTCGCGACAAAACTGGAAAGGAGCTTATGTTACCATATATATTAGAAAGAAAACGGTTAGATGATCTTTCGGGAAGTATTACAGATGGTCGTTTTCATGAACAAAAAGTGAATATTTTAATTAAATTAAAATACAATTTCTGTAATAAATACATGTGAAAATTCTTATTTGTACAGTTTAGATTAAAGCAATGTGGGCTGGATAATAAAATCTATTTAGTTGAGCATGAAAAAAAATATCATGGTTTACCAATATCAAATTTGCAACAAGCATTGGCCAATACAGAGGTTATAGATGGTTTTACGATTGTCAGAACAGAAAATCATTTAGAATCTATGAAATATATTGCAAACTTTTCTTATCTATTATCTAATATGTACAAAGTAAACTGAATTATTTATTTAACTTCACAGATATATACACAATGCATTTGTGAGATAAATATAAATTTACAATTGTTTACAGAACAAAATATTAACTACTCATAGTGATGATGACTCAGATTATGGAAACTGCTCCAATTATGTGAAACTTATACCCTTCAAAACATTTTCAGCAGGTTCTGCTAAAAACAAGGTACGAAAATGTAAAAATAAAAGAGTAACATTTTTTTTTTTACAATAAATTGGTGACTATAAATCATAGTGTCAATAAAAACAAAACCTGATACTGTTGATGGGTGCACTACTGTTATAGGTGGGAAGTTGGGAAGGTGGGATACATAAAGCTATTTAATTTATATCTGTAAGTAATGATAAATCATTACTAATGAAAAACGATTCTGAGCAAAGTTTATTTATACATGATTTGAAAGACCTTAATAATTATTTACAAATTTCATCAAAATTTGATTTAAAAAAAAATTACTACATTACACAATTTTTTTTTTGACCACTAAGTACAACTTATAATGAATCTGTTAAATTTGAATCATTTTTATTTGGTCAAACAATTTTATCTACATACCTACTAAAGAAAAACGACTTTCTTCTTGACCAAGAGCAATAACATCCCAAATATAACAAAAAAAGCAATATTTCTAGTAGAAAACACTTTATGTGTTCAAATTAAAAACTATGAAATCTGTAATGCCACTTTTTCTTAATTATTTTAAAAACCTTTTGGTAAATCATAAAATGATCTCCATAATGCACCAACTAGATCCAAAATTCAATAAAAGGTTTTTTGAAATTTTTTGATTGGAGCAATTTTTCTGTTTGAAAAGTTATTTTATAGACAGAAAAAAAACATACACACCTAGTAAATCCAACAGATCCCTCACTCTGCACCAAATGTAAAAAATAATTCTTTTGTAGATCTCGTTTTTCTTTTGTTATTTTCAGAGTATTAAACTTACTCCTTGCACTGCTCAGAATCTAAAGTAGTTCTATCCTATTAAACAAATAATATTATAATTTATTGCTTTTACAGAATATGACAGTACGAGATATGTTGATACGGCAATTACTTCAGGTCCGAGGATTATCCGTTCATAAAGCATTTGCAATTGTCGAGCAATACCCTAGTCCAAGGTCACTCATCCATGCCTTTCAAAGGTCCAAAAATCCCCTTTTACTGGCCAATATAACTTACGGCATACCTGTCAAAACCATTGGGTCGGCCATTAGCAAGACCTTGTTTCAAATATATTCCAATTGATAACCGCGTTTAAATTATATGTAAATTTGTGCTTTGTGCAATTATTATAAATGTTTTCATTTTTTATTTTAATTATTGTTTAGAAATATAATATCATTTGTAAAACGTGTGATACGCATATATTTAAAAACGTATAACAAATTTAGATGATGTTTTTTTTATATTTTAGTTTCATTGAGAGTTGAATGAGATATATTTTATCCTTCTCTTTAAATATAACATATAATAATATAAACGCGCGCTCACACACACACACACGCACGATTTTCGATATGGAATGTCGCCAAACAGTGTGAAATATCTTCCCACACCGTAATAATAATTCTATTTTTACGTCATCCAGTTATCCGCTATGTACGAATACCGTACACCACAGTCGTTCTCGTCGTTTTTCTCGGTTTTTTTTTTTTTTTTTTTTCCGACTAATATTTCTTTCCAGTCTAGTAAAATGTTATAGCGCGGATTTTCTTCGCCGCGATATTGTCGAGTGTTGTTTTCCGCGTGAACATCCGTATCGCGTTTTTGTTGTTACCGTCCGATTTTGACGTCACGAAAATTGTATAGTATGGCCGGCAACACCCAGAGGCCCACGTTCCGTCCGCCGTGGGTAAAAGACGGCACCACCGACACGCCGCCGAAGGCCACCGTGCCGTGGAGGACCAGAGATAAGACCGTGGCCGTTTCATCGGTGGCTATTGCTCCCGACCAACCGAACGCGGTATAATATTAAATATTATGGACTATACGTTTGAACATTTAATAGCCACGTCATTACGACGTTTTCGCGATGCATTTTTTCGCACCAGATGCAATTACTTTATTTTATTTAGTCTCGCGCCGAGATAGCGGTTCGATTCGCGTTCGGATTTCCGGTCGTCTGTACTCGATTTGTTTTTTTTTTTTTAATTTTATTTACCGATTTCCATTTGTGTCACCTAAATAGTATCCGGAGTAGCTGCCCATCTACCAATATTGATTATTATTTTTTTTTTTTTGACTGCAGGCCGACGAAGAAGTGAAACATTTTAAATTGAGAAAAGTCGGACAGAACGACGGCAGAAAAGTCACCGAAATAAAAATCGTGCCCAAAGTAAGGATATACCTAATGATCTTATATCTTGAATATTCCGTGTTACCCGCATTCCCCGTAATTGCTGAACGGTCGTCCGACATTGTGCGTACGGTGTGGGAAATGCTAATATCGGCAAACATATATACGCCCTATATGACGTGAGCACTTGGAATTTCAAAAACCCTCGAAAAACTCAATATTTTAATAATATTATAAATCTTATAATGAGGAACTGCGCAAAATACCGAAAACTCGTAATATTTATGCGTACAATATTAAACGGGCACAAAGCCCTGTTTTACGAGTAATTAATTTTAAAAACTGCGCGTCCGTATTCCATGCGATACTTAACGAATCACGGCGGACAGACGCGAGAAAGGGATGTAAACGCGTCGTGGGAAATACGAACATATTTATACGGGACGAAAATGATTTTTCGAAACTTTTATTATGATACCTATGACTTAGATCGGGAAAACCACAACGTTTCTTTACCACAAATATCGTAGGGACGTCGGTGAAAGATATTTCAAACAGGTATCAAAACGAAAAAAAAAAAACCGAATTAAAAGCCTTACTAAAAATAACGATTTGTATGTTAGCTGTAACAATAAGCGCCACTTGGTAGAAATTCTCGAGGGCGCAAAAATTATGGAGATTCTCAAACTCGTGCGGGACTTCACACCTCCTTATAATATCGAATTGCCTAACATTTTATCACTACTACCACTAAAATTAGTACCTACGTAATATTTGTGTCGGTGTTATAAAATTAAAATCGCATGTTATTATGCTGAGTAAACAGTTTCGGCCTGGCACACCAAGGGCGGCTTTGGGGCGGTTTTTTTTCCCAGGAACCCATAGAAATCAACGCGATATTCGGTCAAATATCGGTTTTATTGGTCTATCATATATTTCTAAAATGTAACAATGGATTTCGCGGAGACATGTACATGTGTAATATTATGCTACAATCGTAAAAGTGATTTTCAACAACATTTCAGTTTTCAGTAATCGGTGTATAAATTTACTCGCTCGCACAATAATATTTATTATAATAAGTTAATAATTTGTTATTTGACTGCATGTGTGAATTAGCCAACTAAAGTCTAAACAATATTACCTATGTATATTTCATCTCTGCACAAAAAACAGTCGTACTTATAGTGAAATGAAGACGTTTTATAGGGGGTTCCGTCCGCGGTCGCGGCCATGGCCAGGCCGACACTGTGTCTAATATCATATTCTAGTATACCTACTAGTTTGTTTGTTTTGTTTTTTTTGTCTGTTATTGTGTGTGGACGCAAAATGATACTTTCGCCTCCTCAGACGAATACTCTGATAATAAATATTGATAACGCTGCTATTTATCGGATTTATTTTTTGTTTTGGAGTTTAAAACTAATGAGAAAAATTACAGATTTGGCATCGACGAACAAAGAGCCTCGCGCTCGCTAAGAGACGATCCACGTGCGTCAGCGCAGTAATAATAATAATAAAAATAATAATAATACGAATAATAACAATAATATAATTCACGAGAAGTCGGACAAATTGAACAGTATTTGTCGCAAAGGCTAACACTGAAACGCGATATTATTGTAGTATGTATTCAACCATCTAATATTTCTTCTTATTATTATTATTTATTCCGTCCGCACAAGATTTTTATTAGAGCGACGACGATACGTGTATTTATATAATATTATATCCGGACCACTGTGGCAAATGAGTCACTTGAGAGGAGGTCACACTATTAACATTCTAAGGCGTTTGTACATAGGCAATTTCGATGACGTTTCTGAGAAAACATACAAATATTACCGTTCGTATCGATTAAAACACGGTCTCGGGTGGCTTTTCACAAATATTTTGGAAACGGTTTTCCAAATTTTCTCCAGTTTCGTAAAATTTGAAAATTGTTTTTACCTCCTATGGTTTGATAACCATTTACGAGGAAGGGTTACGGTCGTTTTTACGGACGAATTTGACGTTTTAGACCAATAAGATTGAGTAAAATTGTTGAAGCTAACCCAATTTTTATTTTGAAAACACGTGTGATTTTTTTTGATTTCTTGTCTAAATTTTTTTTATTTGGTAAATTTAGTTAAAGTATACGACGAGTTTACCGGTTTTTTTTTTTTTTTGTTAAAATAACTCACAATCAAATGTCACGAAAAAAAAAAAATAAAAAAAAATATTTTTCCTACAAAACATAGAAAAGAAGTGTACGAATTCTAATATTTTTCAAAACGGAAATTGAATTATGGGAAGTATGTATGTATGTATGAAAAACCAAATTACTTCCAAGAAGTGTCTGCGGGTCTGTTTGTTTGTCTACAGAGGCTTACTTACAGGGGGTGGATGGGGAGAGATGTGGGTATTATATTTCTCCTGGTCATTTTTATTTCACCTATCACTGATCATATTCTGATTTTCGCCCATGTATATTATCCTCCCCATACAAAAATGCTGAGCATGCCACTGTCTGTGGGCGATATATTGTCTGTCGAATCGATTGCACGCACAGGACTGACGATTTACATACAGAACCCCGACGAGCGGGTTCGTTTACAACTCGAAGTCGGATTTCCGAAATTCAACCACTAAAGGGTGGCTCGCACAGTATGGGTTGCCTTGGCGATGCGGACGACAAAAAAAAAAAAAAAGCCCACAGCATTATTAGTTAATTTGATTGTCACGGGCAAGCGGCCGACCCCAGCAAATAGTTGGGATGTAGGACGAGCGGAAGGTGGAGAAAAAGAATACTGTCACGGGCAAGAAAGTATACCTACCCTTTTTGGAAAATAAATTACCGGGCGACAATGTTGGTTATCCGTGACGGGGCCGAAAACGTGGGACCATACGATTGAGATACGGTTTTATTTTTTATTTTTTCTTCCTATTCAATACTGTGCCCGGGCAAAGAGGCGCGGTACAGCTATAGCTAGTAAATAATCATAATAACAACATTATATTATACAGCCCGACGAAGTGATAAATATATTATACGCGCGTTCCGTTTGTTTTTTTTTTTTTATTCGTTTTAGATTGATTCTCAAGGCCCGTTGCAAATTAACAACAGACCCGCACCCAAGGTCGCCGCCGTCCCGGAAAAGGCGAAAAAAACCACGTCCGCCATGGTGTCTTTGTCGTCGTCGCCGGCCCCGGTCGCGGCCCGACAGACGGATCCTGTTTCTACTCCGGTTCCTGCTCCAGGGCCGGTTCCGTCGATGCCGGCACCCCCGCCGCCGCCACCTCCACCGCCGTCGAAAATGCCGCCCGTCCCTCCGCCGCCTCCAGCGCCGCCCGCGATGGCCAATTCTAACGGTGTTCCGCCCATAAGTAAGTGTCTTGACGTACAATAATGCACGAAATTCGGAAAACGAATACATACCTATAATACGTCCTCAAAGACGGTTTAGACGGTTTTCGTGAAAGAGTGTATACAACTCACATTTTGTCGAATTTGACATACTTCAGTTGAAAAGTCATGACGAATATATTGGTGACACTGAAATTAGTCTCCTTTACTCCTTTTAATAATATCATATAATTTCTACATCTGCGAGTTTAAGAATATAATTGAACAATTCTATACAAACCTGTAGTAAATTATTCAGTTTTTTTTTTTCATATAAAATAAATAATAATTAAAATATTAATCATATAAATAACAAAAGTAATAACAATAATAATTAATAAAAGTTAGGAGACTAAGTCCAAAATACTTTTATTTTAAGCAGCAGTTTGCAAGCGGTTTGATCAACAATATTTTGTATATTAATGTTTTCATTTCGATATTCGATGAATACTTAAAAGTGTTAAGCCAGTTAGTCTTTGCTAAATTTTTTTTTTTTGATGATAAAGTACGATTTTTAATGAGCCTCAAAAGTTAAATTCTCAAGCATTTCTGTTTGGTCTAACAATTTTATCTACAGAGTACCTACCGAATAAAAATTATGTACAAAACTCTCAAAATTAAAATGTCTATAAAGTGCTCAAAAGTTGTACCACGTCAAGAAATGGCAAATATAAGTTTTTTGTCCAAATTTCAAGCCTCTACAAATATTTTTAACTGAGTTACAACAAAAAACAAAACTGAACATAATAGAAGCATTATTTTCATACATTTTTCCGTTTTTCTTAAGTTTTATCCTGGGTTTTTCTGATATTATGAAAACTACTTGGAAAATCAAAAAATAACCTTCCTAAAGTACCATCTAGTTAATATAACAATTTTTTTTTTCAACAAAAGTGCTACATTTACATATTAAAGCAAGATTTCTGGTAGAAACTTGTGTCACAGTATATATATAAAAAAAAAAAAAAAAACGTCATTATAAAACCACTAGGTACATGTACATTTTTCGCTACACTTAGAAACTAAAATTTAAATTAAATTAATAATTTCCAATTTTGATTCTAAAAATATATTATTTTATTATACCTTTGCAAATTGATTGTTTCCATTTAGTTTTCCATAATTTTATCTCGCCCTTGAGAAAATATTTAATGCAATTTATAAATGAGAAGTGGAAACACTTCTAGAATGAAAATTCTCGGTTCAGTCAAAGTATTACCAAGATCCAGAATCGTCTTTATGCCATTTGGAACCAGTTGCATTTGTACTTATTAGTGCTTACGAATAATGGATATCTTGTTTAAAAAAAAAGAACATTACACGGGTTATGGGGGAGAGCGATCCCCCCTTCAGGGACGCCCCTGGCTACAGCGAATATAAATTATATCTAATAATTTGTCGTTTGAGAAAAATAATATTAAAACGAAAACGAATCAGAATTATATTTTTTCTTCCCTTTTCGTAACAATGTTACGATATCATTACTTATTATACAGATATCTACCATAAACATATAAATCTATAAAGTATAGGGTACTACAGATATATACTATACAACTGAATAAAATAATAAATAATCTTATAGAACTGACGTAATAAAAAATAATGAGCGTAAAATGATTAATGTAATATTAATAATATAATATGCGATCCAGACGATTTTAGATATGAATTGAAATCGTTTTTAAAATACTCTATTAAAATATGATACGTGCAATTAATATTAGTTGTGACAATAAAACTAAGTGATGGGTATTGGATGAGCATAATATCGAATCATAATTCTTAATGATTATAATACGTCAATTTAATTAAGCGCACGTATTGTAAAACGGTGAAATATGCAGTACATTATATTATTAACATATTTCTAAATAAAAAATTAAGTGCTTGTTTAGCTTATAAAAATGACACACTTATAAATTAAAAAGGTAAACACATATTAGTTGTTATTTATATTTATTTGTCACGTGATAATAATTGCATGGTACATGCTATTATAGTTGAGAAAAATACGAACGAATTAATGAATGGAAATTTGTGAAGTATATACGTGTAGTTTTATTAATAGGTATGAGTAGGTAACCTACTCATATTTTTTATGAGTGTGTGCTAATAGATAATATTATTTTTCGCGTAAATAACTCGTTTTTGACAAGTCTTTAATCTTTTAAATGTATCTCAAGTTGTTGATTATAATATATAGTTAATAAAAATATGAAATATGTTCATTTTTGTTTTAAACTTACATCACCGCATTATAACATATAATTATTTCCAATTAAATACATATGATTAATATTGTTTTTTTTTCGTTTTAATGTATGTTTCAATTAAATATTATTAAATCAGAGAAAAAGTATTAACAAATAAGAATTTTCAAAATTCAATACACTGCAGTTACAAAAATATACGTATAGAATTATTAATACTGAATAAATTATGTTTTAGATTTTGAGTGAAGTGAAGAAGCTTATGGTTTTACAATGATGTTTATTTTATTTACTTCTGTGGACAACATTTCTACCGGAAATCTTGCTTCGATTTTTAAGTGTAGCACATTTTCTGAAAAGAGATCGGACTGGAGAGGTACTTAAGAACATTATTTTTTGATTTTCCTAGAAGTTTTCTCAAAAAATGGGAAAAACGGGAAAATAGGTACAATATTAAACAAATATTACTAAAGAAAATTATATAATGCCTACATAATTATTTTCTCAAAATATGGCATAAATATTGTTGACCAAGCAACATTATCAACTGAATTCCGCTCAGAATCGTTTTATCGTTAGCAATGGTTCATCGTTACTTACAGATGTACATTAAATTTCCCCTCTACTACCTTCCCAACTTCTTAGCTATAGCAGTGGCCCATCCACGTGCGAAGTATGTCCGTTTTTTTTTTCATTACGACATGTATATATTTTTAACGTAAAGTAAATATTTAATAAACATAATGGGTATGACATACATGCAGATAATATTTCGATCATTATTTTATTGAAACATATGTTTATAGGTACTTAATATTATATAAAGTTATACATTTTAAAAAAACAAACCAAATTAAAATGGTGTTGAGTATATTCAAATGAATATAGTTTGCGATTTCAAATATCTTAGCGTAGAAAACGCGATATTATAAGATATATATTGAAACAAGATTTAGGTCGTGGATGTATATAAAGCCACGCTCTATGTAAACGTTTCTAAATAATAATTGGCCTTAATCCAAACAAGTAGAATAAATTTTAATTATTTTACAAAGTGATGATATGAGAGGAAATGTTTCGTAACTCGATAAATTCTTAACGAACAATAATATTGTATTTTAGTATAGGTATGCAAAAGATAATATTTTATGTAACTTAAGCTCGTTGATATAGATTTTTTTAATAAATTGCAGGTGTTAACGCTAGATATACTTTATGATATTTTATAATTGGTCGTAATATATAATAAATATAATTTATAATAAACAGACTACAGTGTGAACGATATAGCGTAAGATGCGTATTATCTCGGAGAGTATCAACTTTTTGGCGGAATTAGTTTCTTTTAGACCATTGCAGGGACGAAACATGTTACATTAGTGTTATTTTTTGTCACCTTTTTTTGGGGGGGGGGAGGTTGCAAGTAGCAACCTATACATAACATTCTAAAAATAGATGAAGTTTAAGTCTAAATACATTTTAATGTTGACGTTTGTAATTTTTTTCGATCTGTAGACGAGATATTTCACTTTTAAGTTTATCGTTTTGCCGGTAGAAAAGAGACATATTGGGAAACGGCATTTAGATGGTTTTTGTGAAAAACATGACAACAAATAATATATAATTCGGTTTTAAAATTTTAGATTCCGAACGTAGCGAGGGAGCTATTCGTTTTACTAAGATGTTTAATATTTTTTTTCTAGTCGGTGGACACATTTTTTCCTTGTAAACTTGTTCCGATTTTTACGTGCAGCATCTTTTTTGATAACTCAAGTTGTCTAAATTATACTTTAAACAGGTTATTTTTTGATTATCGATGTCATTTTTTAAATAAAAGCATTTAAGTGGGGAAAACGTAAGAAAACAATTTCACAATTTCATTATTTTTTAAAAACACGGAAAATGTTTTTTACCGGAAAAATTTATTTAATCGAAAATCACAAGACACCTTTTTTGTTGATTCTTTGATTTACTCTCTTATAGTATCATCGCCAAATATTTGAGCCTTTTTTGAGCTTTTAATGAATTTTAATTTTTTGGAGGTTTATTGCTGTTATTCGGTTATAAATTGACGTAAAGACTTGAAACTTGGTAAAAATACTTATATTGGACTTACCTAGACGTGGTAAAATTAACAATATCATCAGATGACTTTTTTTTTAAATAAACGTTTTGAAATCAAATTTAAACAAAAATTGCAAAAAAATTACGGCACTTCAAATTATATATTACCGAACTGCGCTCGGAATCGTCTTTTGTCAAGCAAAGTTTTATCGTTGCTTACAGATATAAATTAAATAACCTTATGTATCCTACCTTCCCAACTTCTCTCCTACAGTGGCCGCTCCCATCCCCAGTATCAGCTCTTTATTTTTTAATTTTAGATTCCGAGTGAAGCGAAGAAGCTCATTGTTTTACAAAGATGTTGAATTTTTTTTTTTTAATTGTTTATTATTTTTGTTTTTATTTAAAATAATTTGCATGGTAAATATCTGACTAGGAAAGTACTTGAAGAGGTAATTTTTCGAATTTCCCAGGAGTTTTCCCGACAACAGGGAAAACTGCCAAATCATGAGAAAACCGGAAAAAACGTAGTAAAAACGGAAAAATCGGTTCAATAATAAACAAATATCATTAAAGAAAATATATAATGCGTATTTAATTATTTTATCATATTATGAAATATATATTGTTTACAAAGCATCACTATCAACTGAACTCACCAACAACAGTGGCTGCTTCCATCTCCAGTATCAGATCTTTTTTCTGTTTATACATTGATTCTGAATGAAATTTTGCACCGCGTTTAGTGGTAGGATTTTTAGATAAATATTTGCCATAAGAAGTGTAACGAGTCACTATTCAAATGTAATAAACGTGATAAAAAAAACCTGGATAAAAATTTGAATATTCGGCCGGATTTTTTTTTTTGTATTTTTCTCGGTTTTTATATTTCAAATATTTTGTTTAAATTTTAAACAGATATTTTTCTAAATTCTATGAATTGCCTAAATTCAAACTTATTAATTTGTATAATATATGAATATGTACTTAAAACTAATAAAATGACCAAAAATTGCTAAAAAAAAAAAAAATGTTCTAAAAATTGGAAAAATGTATAATAGAAGTTTCACTTTTAAAGTGTCTATAACATGAACCGAGTACTTGGAAAGCAAAAACCTAAAATAAATAATTTATCATTCAAACCCGGACCCAAGTGATAAGTTATACAATAATTTGTATGGAAATGGTTAAAATATTGTTAGAACTGATGAGTCATATCCATATGTGTACCTAAAATTTGATAAGTCCTTTAAGATACCCACGGGCTTAATTAATAACTTGTTCGATACCATTATTATATATGGTAGGTACGTTAATAAAAAGTTACTTGAAATAATTTTTGTACAAAAAATATGTATAATAATGATTATTCTTAATATTTAATTAAATTTAAATTTAAAATATATAGAAAACAATTTTGATTTTGAAAAAAAAAAACGTTTGTATTAATTTCTGAAAAATTTGAATTTTTGACGGATCATATTATTCATAATAATTTGTATTTTGTACGGCATTTAAGAGTTGCAAGTTTCTTAAATTTTTTTAAAAAATTAACTCTGAAGAAAGTTAATACTTCCGCGATAAGGAGTGTCTTATTACGTTATGTTGATCGTCCTGTATATGGGTATATATTGTAAATACTATATATTTCATAATATACAATATATTATGATTTTAGGTAGTTCCTGGTATACTATATTATAGGTGGATAAAAAAAAAAAACGTATCGAAATTTGAAAAAAAAAAAAAATGTATTTAATCAAAAATAAAGTAAAAAAACAACAATGCTGTAAGTCCCTCACGCTGTTGCGAATCAAAGGTCAAAAAACGTCAATACCTATTACAAGAGCGCAGTATAACGTAATGTCGTGATGATCATAAAATGTAACGTAAATATAGTGTTGGAAACGTTCCCAATTAAAATGTTTAATTAGACTAGGTACCTATATAGAGTATTAGTAAATCCAATAAGAACGAATAAGCCGCTTCTTTTAATCGCTATTGACACTTCGGTTATTTCTCAGCTATATTTTTGTCGCGTGCCATATTATACATACCTGTCTATATATTCGCTGTTACATTCAATATGATCTGCTAAAAGTGTATAATTAATCGGTCTAAATACAATACGTATGTTATTAAAATAAATTACGGGTGTTCAAATTTGATTATCGTTACACATATATAGCGAGAAAGCCGCCGACACCAGAAAAAATGAAGAAATTGGAAGGCTTACGGAGTCGACCCAGGAGGCGTCCCGATTGGTCTGACATGATGAAAGAAGTCGAAAGCGGCAAGAAACTCAAGCATGTGGAGTGTAACGATCGCAGTGCTCCGATAATATCGAGTACCAAGTCTCAAGGACAAGTGAGCGTCAACATCGTATCTTTGGTTTCGGGGAAGAAAGGCTTGAGTCCGGTTTTGGAATTTCGTTTACATTCTGCGCGAAGCGAGAAATGTATTGGTTCTGTAATCATGTGTTTTTGTTGTTTTTTTGAGTCTGTTAACAATTTTCCGAAGAGCAGAAATCATGCTCCGATCAAAAACTTTGTGTACAAGACATTTTTCATAGAATGCTCAATATCTAATTGGTACGTCGTGGAGGTTATTCTTGATAAATGAGAAATGACAATTACTTGGGTAATTTTTATTAATTCCTCTGACTTCAAAACTAAATTTACTTCTAACGAAAACTATATAAAATTGACTTAAGACCTTTCTTCCATGGGAATAAAGATATTATTATTATCTCATTTCCGAAAAAAATTGTCTTGAATATCCACACATTTATTACACTTTATAATTTTAATGTGTATAGTTTTTGTACGAATCCGAAACGAAAGCGGAAGAAACCGATCACCATCAGCTACTGAAAGACATTCAACATGGTGTCAAGCTCCGCAAAGTTAAGACCAACGACAAGAGCAAACCATACATTGAAGGTAAATACATTATAATAAGAACTACGTTTTATTTAGAAACTTTAATTATATTACGACAAAATGGAGACGTTATTAGAAATTATATACAGTGGCGTGTATAAGAATTTTCATTAGGAGGGTATGTAGTAAATAATAATTATAAATAAACCGTAGAAACTTCTTCTACGTCTATAATAGCCCGACAGAAGGAATTTAAAAGCCGATTCCAAAAAGCCAATTTTTGTCTAATAAATTTAGCTTATCCTAGTAACTCGACGAAGTTCCGTTAAACGCCTGGTGCCACCAATGTTTTTAAGCCGATGGGGAGGTGAGGGATAAACCCCCAATTTCCCCTTCCTCGCGTACGCCTCTGATTATAGGTTATGCTATAGTTTTATCAATATATACATGAGATTTAAAAAAAATTGAAACACGGGTTATACTTCTATAAATTTAACCCAATATAACGTGTGAAAATTGAAATCACGCGATGAAAAAACAACAACCGTGTTATATATCTAAAACTAATAAAGGAAAAATGATAAAAAAATAAATAATAATAAAAAACAAGTAACGAGATTATAACGTTATTATTGAAGTTTTTTTTTCGTAAAAATTAAAAACTAATCAAATTATCTGCTTCCGATGACATATGAGTTTGTTTTGGGAGTATAAAATCACCACCGCTGATCGGTGGTTTGTTTCCTACGCCATGAAATACGTATTTTCGATTCTTTTCGATAGATATTCTATATTTTATAGAAACTATCGCAGATAAATTTTTAGTCCATTTATTTCAAGAATATTGAAATATTACTTGTATTTCATTACTTTAATAATTTATTTAATTTGTAAGCTAAATATAACCATTCACAAGTTCTTTGATTAAAATAAAATGTATAATATATTATTATTCTATTGGATAGGTAGGTACGAATTTTCAATTATTTCATCTGTTTTTGCGGTTGTAAATTGTAATTTTAAAAATGTTTGACCTTTTTTATTTATCTATTGTTATTTAACTTTGTTTAACTAAATGTTAAACAGGTCTTCGGAAATTCAGAAGACAGGAAACGATTGACGAAAAAATACAAAAGTCTGTGTCCATGGCCGATGTTGTGGCCGCAGCCGCAATGCCAGACGAACTCGACGATATCGATAAAGTATGTTCGAAACAGTCGACGATAATATATATATTACAAACACGTTTTACTTGGTAATATTATATTTTATCAATAGGTAAGAGACGATTTGCAATCAGCCAAGCAAATGCTCGCCTTGGAATTACGAAGTAAAGAAGCTCTGGAACGGGAAAACAAACGACTTTTAGCCAGAGTCACGAATTTACAAGAAGAACTGAAAAATAAACCGGCTAGTACCACGGGACTGACGAGATCAGACACGGATCAACAAGTACGTCATAATATTATTAATCGTAAATAATTATTAAATTAAAACCGGACTTCGTTTTTTTTTTTTTTTTTTTTATCCGTAGCTCATTAATAAATTAAAAGAAGAAGCGACGGAAGCCGATCATATCGTCAAAGACATGGAACAAAAATATCATGTGACCGCAGAGGAGTTGGACAGCACCCGGCGAAAACTCGAAAGCGCTTGGTTGAGAAATCAAAAACTAGAATTGGAACTGAAAGCCGCGTTGTCCAATCGGGCGGTGGCTCAGCAGCCAGTGCCCCGGACGATGTCCATGAAGAAATTATCCGTGACACCGTCCGTCGAACATCTGTCCGAGGAGGAGGAGACGGATGAAGACGACGAGGAAGACGACAGCTCGGAGGACAACTCTAGCGACGCGTCGCAGGAAATTGACGAGGCCCGAAGGTCGGCCAGAGAACTAAAACTGTTGGAAGTGAAACTGAAGGCGGTCCGGGACAAGCAAACGTCCGCGCTGAAAGAGCGTCGGACGCTTAAACAAGAGCTGTCCAAGAGGCAGACGGAGCTCAAGACCGAGAAGAAAAAGTACAAAATGCTCCAGAAAGAAGTAGACAAAATGGCTAAACTCATGAGAGATACTGACGACGAAGACGAAGAGGACGACGACGAGGACGAACAGGACGAAGACGAATCGGAAGAGGTGAGTGTATCATGTACCTATCTATTAATTATGCTTACCGCCAGTCGAGAAATAGTCTATCCCGTCGAAATCCTTTCGCCCTCAAACTGAAAAAGTTACGACAGCGATAGAAATACCTATTATAATATTGGTAATTATTTCGCTGGTGATTTCAGGAGAGCGAATCATCGGAGAGCGAAGAGAGCGACGACGAGCCGCACAGCGAAGGAGAAGCTCCCGCGACGGCCACGCCCGACCAGAAAAAGGAGAACTTGAACCGCCGGTCCAAATACTACGAAGGCCGGCTGACGTCGCTCAAAAAGGGAAATTACTTGCTCAGGGCCAACGTGGAACGATTACAGGACGACGTGAACAAACAGAAAGAAATGTCACTAGTGTTGCAGGAAGATTTGAATTCAGTATTGGCCGAACTCGGGTAACGCGGTTCTATAATAATAATATTATCACAGAACGTTTCGACTGCGCACGAGGATTACGCGATATCGTCGTCGATTTCGCGTGTCGTCGTTATAACATTATTGAACAATAACGAAGACCACAGTCCAAAAACAATAACAAAAAAAGAAAGAACCGCGTTTATAATACCGCGAAAACAATATTATTATACAACATTATTGTGTGGCTTGACTCGTTGGACGATATTGTTACTACGTGATCTTTTTAATTAAATCAAATATAACGTATTATTATTTATTATTGTACATAGTATGCACGAGCTATCGGCGTAACATTTATTTCGCCGAGACAAATCAATAGGCAATAGGCGAGTTATGAACAATACGCATTCAACGTAGCGTTAACACGTATAGATCACTAACGAGACTGATAATAGTATTGTTATCGGGCGAAATTCGTTTTCGACATAACCGTCGGATATTATCATTACTGTACGTGGAACGTCAAAGTCGTGTGGCTACATTTTAGCTGCCGAGCGAGCAGTGTCGGATTAAGCTCAATCGTATAGCCCCAGGCGCAAATGTTGTCGAGCGCCCATTGTAAAAACATCCAAGACGTAACCAATACTTCAGCTATGCGACTATCTCATAGCTTATACGGGATTTAAATTTTAAAATTCCAAATTACTATATTATTTAATCCGTTTTAATATATGTTTGATTTCGGGATGGTATTATGCGTGTTACTACAAAATAAAACAACACCTACCGTTGTCTAACCCCAGACAAGTAATCACCTCGCCAATGCGTTAATCTGGACCTGCGAGCGAGTAACACGTGTATTGACGCGCGTGGACATTTTTTGCGCGGTGGAAAGGGGGTCGGAGACAGTGGCGTATGCAATGGGGTATCAGGGAGATATGACACCTCCCCTTAACTAGTTTGATGTATCTTTTCAAATTATGAAACGATGACTACAAAAAGAAAAAAAAAGAAATTTTCCCGATTTCAGATTTGAACGGATTGTTCCATGCGCATAGAAGTCAAAACGACAAATGTTTCCTAACCGTTCATAATAACAGCGGCGTGGCTTTAAAATGTTAACGTCATGATAAAATAAATTTACTATCATGGTTAATACATTATATTTTGATTTTTTCTTATTTGTTGACAAACTATTTTAATTAAAATTACTAAAATGAAAAGATTTTTGAAAATGTACAAAATATATTACGAAAATATTACAATTTGTTTTTCTGGGAATTAGTTGAAAAAAATATTACCAGCTTTTTTTTTCTTGTAAATAACTTTTCTACCAGCAATTTTCCACCGATTTATAACGATAGCATTTTTTCCAAAAAGAAATCTGACTGGGGAGGTATTTTAAAGAGGTCAGTTTTTGATTTTCTCACTAGTTTTCCCAATAAATGGGAAATCCGGGAAAAACGGGGAAATGGGTACATCATTGAACAATTTATTTTTTTTTTTAAGAAAATATATATTGCCTATGTAATTAATTTACTATAATATGACATATATATTGTTAACAAAGCAACTAAGCTAACAACCGATCTCCGCTGAGAATCGTATTTTATTCAGCAATTAGTTAATTAGTTAATTCAGTTAATCGTTGCTGACGGGTATATAAAATTGCCTATAACATTGGCTGCACCCGTCCCCATTATCGTAGGACAGATTTTCAGTGTACGTTTCCAAAAAGCCGCAAAGGACGTGGCAGATACCGCCCATTTTTTTTCCAAAACCGCGTACCCGTTTAATTTTGTGTACATATATTAATACGAGTATAATATTATAGCCGTAGCACTTGTACATACCCCGCAGCTATATAATACACATTTTATACGGAATGCGTTCGGTATAATAATTGTCGCGGCATAACCGTAAAGCGGTCGACTAGCAGTGTTGTTGTCGTGGTTTTATAAGGATCGTTGTCCCTAATGTTCGCTAATGCTCGCGTCATTAGACGTTTTCCGCGAACCCGAATATCCGATAATTGAATTTCCGCTAACGGACCGGAAGTACTGCGCGGCTATTATGTATACTCGCCGGGGCGATAAAACAGATTGCAAGTGGTTCGTTTCAACGTACGTACCTACGCCGCGCTGCAAGCTCTGCAAACGGTCGCGTATATTCTGATGTTATACGGCGAACGAAGAACGACTGCATAAAAAACAAAAAAAAACAAAAACGCCCGTCACTATAGAATCGGATTTTCACCCCGTCGCTTTGTTGCCATTATACAGTCAAAATAGTTTCGGAAGCATGAGCTCATTATTATAATGTTATATATATATACGTATTTTAAAATAGACATTATTAAACATTTTGAATGCATTCGAATGATCTAAATTAACATTAAGGGTGAAATAATTTCCAAAAATAATATAACGGAGTTTGAAAAATATAATAACAATATTACTAGAGGGGTTTACCGGGTCCGCATGATTTGCAGTTTTACTTAATTTAGGAAATAGTCAGTGGGGTCGTTTTCCTAGACAAACCCTCAAAACTATCAAAAGGCACATCCTTGTCACGAAATACAACTCTGAGTGAAGTGCATGTTATACATGTTTTGAAATGCCGTAATAGTTACGATTTTTATTAAAATTTGATCTTAAGACCATTATAAAAAACTTACTAGACTACGCTTAACTTTTATTCATCACTAAGTAAAACTTTTAATGAATCTTGTTCTTTCTGCGTTCTTTTTGGATTTTCTCAATTATTGTGAAAACCGGCTTGGATAATTAAAATATGACTTTCATACTTACTAAATATATATTAAATGCATTAAAAAAAGGCCTCTTGCACTTTTGATGATTAAAGCAAAATTGTTGGTAAATAGAACGATGTTCGTAAGAACTAAGTAAACTGGTGACGCTGCGGCTTACTGGAAATATTTTTCCGTTTTTCCTTTACGCTTTTTCCGGTTTTTTTTTAATTATTTTAAAAATTCATTGTAAATTTAAAAAAATGACCTTTTTTAATGCATCAACTAGATCCAAAATTCTACAAAAAAAATCTCTTGTAATTTTTCGGTTGGAGCAAGTTTTCTATTTCAATCACACATCCGAGTAGTAAAAAGTAAAACCAATGGGACTCATCACGCTCCGAATTCAAAACACCCTCCTTCAACAACCGCTTATTTATTTGTATTGAAATTCAACCCAATTTGTAGCACTGCAATTCATCTCTATAACAATTATAATTTCCGACTATGAGCTCATTTGGTTCAGAGGGGAGCCATAATATTTCTAAGGAAATTCAACAAAAATGAAAATATTATTATTAGTTAACAAGAACTCGAGAAAAAATAAATACGTATTTTACGCCCTTATACATACATTGATTTTGAAACTTTCCGTACCTAGTATAAACTATAAAATTTACGATTTAAGTCAAATAAAATTGCTCGCACTTATAACCATCATTCAATACTATACTAACTTCTACATAATTATATGATTATGATTATAGTACCTATTTATAAAAAATAAACGGGTATACTTAAATGTTCGTAATAATATCGTTATGACGAAAAATCCTTAAAAATTAAATTATAGCAAAATTTAAAAATTAACCGTAGTGAAGATTAAAAGAGCAATTTCGTCTTTATTGACAAATTGTCTAATGTAAACACAATATGTCCGTTTTGCATTTAGTGGCTCAACTATATAGTACTTTGTGAACGATATACTGTAATATAAATGCAAAGTATAAAAAAAAAAAAGACGGACATGCTTCACACGAGGGTTCAGCCACTGTTGTGGGAAGCTGGGAAGCTAATTAATAATGGGTAATTTAATGTGAATCTGTAAGCAACGATGAACCATTGCTAACGAAAAAACCGATTCTGAACGGAATTCAGTTGATAGTGATGCTTGGTTAACAATATATATTTCATATTGTGATAAAATAATTAAACAGGGGTTATATATTTTCTTTAACAATATTTGTTAATTGTTGTACCGATTTTTCCTACGTTTTTCCGGGTTTTCCCAGTTTCTAGTTTCCCAGTTTTTTCCCCATTTGTTGAGAAAACTCCTGAGAAAAATCGGAAAATTACGTCTTCAAGTGCCTTCCCAGTCAGATATATACCATAAAAATTATTTTAAGTGAAAACAATAATAATAAACGATTAGAAAAAAAAAAAAAATCCAACAAACTATTTCGTGCCCGACGCGAATTGATCGGAACGTAACGCGCGGCTAGGCGGACGACGCCGCGATCGCTGTTCTGTATACGCCACACAATCGTTATCGTGTTTAACAATAACGCGAGCGCCGACTCGCGACCGTGCGAACCGCGGCCGTGTCCCGGGGAATTGGACCGTCCGCTGGGGACCGGCCGGTAAACGGCACCGGCCGCCCGCGCCCCGCGGTGAGACCCGCAGGACGAAATGATTGTCGATTTCGCGGGTCACGCGCGACACTGCGTCACAGCGACGCGTAGCCGACTCGCGCCGAAGGGGCCGACGCGGACGGAAAGCCGCGGAAGTCGCGGGAAGTCTGGGAATTTATGAGGCCGGGTCGCGGCGCGCACCTGCCGCGCGAGTATTGTTGTCGCGCCGCCGTCGAAAACCCGTGGAAAACCGCCGGGCTCTCGCGTTCGAAACGCGTCCGGACGGGCCGGAACCGAACGGGCGGGGTCGTGTGAGCGCCCCCCCCCCGCCGCCGCCGCCGCCGCCGCCGCCGACGATCCCGGGATCATTGGTCGTTTTCGTATCAATCGCATAAAAAAAAAAAAAAATCGGTCGGGGAATATCCTTCAGCGAAAACCACCCTATTCAACGTCGATAGCGTTAACAATGGACAATATTCTCGTGATTGAATAACGGCAATTCGATAGCTATGTACGATATTCAAATAACGAGTTCAAGGCGTTGTTCGTCCGTTGTTTATTTTTGTAACACACCGCGGACCGGCGGCGCGCGCGCGTGCCGACATTAGATTACTCGTGTCGGTTCGTACTTCTAAGCCGACGGGGCACGGGGGAGGAGGGGGCGGAGGAAACGTAACCCCTAATCCTGTCCTGCCGGCGGTACTGTCGCGAACGTCACGTCATGTTTTAAACGCACAACTCGACGGACGCGTTCGCACGAGCCTTCGCAATCGGTTATATTCGATTGTTTGTTTGGTTTTTTTTTTTTTTTTTTTATGCGTACGAACCATTGTTGTACACACGCACACGATACGGTACACGTGAGCGGCCAACGAAGCCCGAAACGTTAACGGATTTCACGATTGAACGGTAAATGTTCAACGGTCGTCAATTATTGCGATATTAATATTTTTATAACGGCACGGCACTGTACTGTTTGTCGGTGTAAATTTACTTGAAAGTCAATTCGAACACTCTCGAGTCGGTTAATATTATCGGTATTCTCCCTCCCATCTCCCCTCCGCCGGTACGAAATGTCATTAAAATCGTCTACGTACGCGACCCCGCAAATTCCAGACGCTACCCAAAATTTTTTCCAATGTCCCAACCTACCCTTACGGCATTCGAGTTATTTGAGTTTGTAATTACCGGGTAATATAGAAATTTCGCTGCGTGCCCGGCACCATTATACACCATAGGTACGACAAAATTGTCGACGTCAAGTGCGCGCCGTCGAGGCCGCCTCCCACGACCGCCGCGACAACAACAACAACAACAACAGCAACAACAACAACAACAGCAACAACAACAACATCAACAACAACAGCAGCCGCGGAAACGTACGAAAACCGCGACGGGTGATTGCGCGCGGTTGCGGGTGGCCGCAGTATTTTAACGGCGGCGGGCGGGCGGACGGGCTGGGGCGTCCGGAGCCGCGCACAAAGGTCGCGGGCGGCGTGTTTTTATTGCTGGGAGCACTTGACTAACCACTTTCCCACAGTGTAAACAAAATGCCGCCACCGCCGCGCCGAGATGCGCCGAGTACGCGCGCGTATAATAATACGCGTGCGGTGTCGGCGTGCGGGACGCGCGCTCTTCGCCGTCTCGCGTTCCCCGGGGACCGCGCGCACGTTTCTCGCCGCCGCCGTCGTGAATTCGGCGCCAGATGCTCAGAGACGCGGCGCACCGCCACCGTACACGCTCACGCACCCGCGGCGATAGAATATTATTATTATTATTATTATTTATTGTCGTTTTACTCGCGCGAAAACGCCGCCACCGCCGGTAACGTGAATACACGCGCATATTATCGTACAATATTTATACAACGTCTGCGATAATATTGTTATGCGGTATTAACCGCGCGCGCGCTAACCGCAACTACTTACACGCCTCGGCCTGGTACGCGCGAGACGAAATCACTACGCCGCCGCCGCCGCCGCCGCTATTTATTAATAATAATAATTATTGTTATTCGCACTCGGTTGTCGGTATAGTAATGGTGGTGTAATTCGGTCAAATTTATAATTGCGGGCCCTATGTAATTTGCGGCGGTGCGGAGCGTAATGTCCGTTCCGTTTCGACGGGATTGAAACGACGACGAGTTGACGCGATGCGCCATCCGTACGAGAAAAACAAAATTCAATAATACGAAACATACTTAATTGCACCGTCCGTAGGCACTATAGACATTGTTGTGGGTGTAAAGTTGAGCGTTTTACGATACATAGCGCGCGATATAATTGACATACAATAAAAGTCACGACACATCGTTGGAATCAAGAACCGACGAGGACGTAGGCAGCACGAAATGTATGAAATAGATACGTGGTTTAAATATACCAATTAGGTGACGAATAATTAACCACAAATAATAATAAATTATCTACTTTTCACCTACCAGCGAAATTCACATCAAATTATAAATGCAACGAATGAAATAAACGCGGTGTAGTAATGTGCGACATAAAATAAATAAGGACGAAATTGAAGTTTTTTTTTATACACAGTTACCATGCCAATAATAACTTAAAATTGCACACGCCTCTATCATTATATCCGTTGTCACGTATTATTATAATTTAACGAGACATTAGTTACGCACCTACTGTAATGAAATCGTTTTTCGCATTTGTTTAAAATCCGAAGAATTTAATGTAAACAATTTTACATCGAAATATCGTACCTACTTTAGATACTTAACGACAATAATTGTGTATAGTTATGTATTAATAATCGAGGATTGCTGACTTGGAAAAGCATTTTACAATAAACCAAACAACGGAATGTATCTGAAGGTTAAACGGTAGGAATGGGCTGGCCATGTTTGACGAGCGGGCGGAAGTCTTATTTATACTGATATACTGGTTAGAAACCTTAACGAAAAACGGCCGAGAGGTAGACTTCCGGCACGGTTAGTTTAGACAGAATGACTGAGGATGCAAAAGGAATGGACGATAGGACAACAATGGAAATGACAAGAAATCGCGATAGGCGGAGAGACTTGACAAAATCGTGCAAAAGGCCTTAAAAGTCTGCTATGTACAAAAAAAAAAATATAATAATCGAGTACTTTTAACGAGTTTAAATATTGAAACATTTATTATATATTATTTACTACGCATTATACGCGTTATTGTAAATCTGGCTACAACACGATTGAGTAAATTTGTCGGTGTATCAAAGGATGTAGAAATAAAAAAGAAAACCTGACCTATTGAGCGTAAAAAAACTCGGCGATATTGCCATTTTAAATTTTGAATTATATTATATAAATAATACACGACGGACAATGTATTATTATTACGGATAAAATTAATATTTATCGCTATTGATAACATTTGTCGATAAAGCCGGGCTCGGCTCACAGCTCGTTTACATAAAAAATATATTTTTAATATATGTCCAATATACATTGAAAATGTTACACGTGAATATACAAAATTTCGGCAACGTGAGTATGGCAACGTCGCAAACAAATATTCTATGCTCAATCGTGCTGTACCGGTAAATCTAAGCGTTTTAGATTTCCGACGGGGGCAAAAAAAAACAAAACAAAAACAAATGGCCCTTGAATTTATTGTAAATTATTGTTCGCACACCCCGGGGCTTTTCGGCTCGGTCCGCCAACTGCGCGCGGGTACAGCAGAGAGAAAAATAAGCGGCCAGAGGGACAGACACCGGGATAAACTCCAGGTGCGGTATATTTTATTATTATAATATTGCGTGAGGAATTCTCGCGGCGGCGGACTTAAAGTTTTAATTAACGCGCGTCTCGGGGTACGCGGAGTTCCGAAAACCGGCGCGAAATATAATAATTCACGGACGTCAAAGGCTGAGTGCGGAAATAACCGGTGCCTGTTCGTTTTATACGTATACAGTGATAGTACACCGCAGTGATAATAATATTGTATTATAATATTCCGTATAAACGCGAGCGCGTATATAAATATATATATAGAGAGTGAGAGAGAGAGTGAGAGAGAGTGAGAGAGAGAGAGAGACAGAGAGAGCAAGCGTAAAATATACACGACAAAACGAAACTCGGAAACGAATTAAAACCGCCGCCGCCGCCGCCGGAACGAGAACTTTCGCCCTCCGACCTCCCGCCGCATCGTTATAATATTATTATCATTATTATTATTATTATTATTATTATTGTTATTGTTATTACCGCGTTTTTCCCGTACTTGCGCGTCCCTTGTACAGGGCGTTATCGAGGAAATCGCGTTTGAGAATCCACGGCTCCTTCTGCGTATAATAACACCCCGAAAACAATAACACCGTAACCGTATATACGAACCGCTCGTTTAAGAAACCTTCTTCCCCGCTCCCCTTTCTCTGAGACCTCTTTTTTCACTTTTCGAGTGTCGATAAAAACCGTTTCTTTAAATTCTCGAAAATGGCTAAAAAAAAAAAAAAAAATGATTATACTCTAGTGGTGGACTCAGAGTTGAATTTTTTTTTTTTTTTTTGGGGAGAGGGAGTTTTCTAAAAGAAAAAACCATTACAAAGCAAAAAAAAAAAGAAGCGATACTGGGGATGGGTGCAGTTACTGTTGTGGGCGGGAAGTTGAAAAGGTAGGACACATACGATTTTTTATCTACATCTGTAAGCACCGACAAACCATTGTTAACTTATTTTTAGATTTAAGTAAGATTTTTGGTAGAAAATGTATTCATAAATAGATAAAAAAAATTAAAACTAAAAAGATATTATATGTACAATCAATACGTTCATCGCGCCCCTGCTTTTCTTCTTCGAAAATCTTGTAATATTTATGCGTTGAATAATTAATTATTTATGGAAATAAACACTTTTGTATAGTTTATAGTTTGGGAGGCCTCGGCCCCTGGGCCCCCTGAATTCGCCAGAGCTCAACTCACTCATGCAATGACGTTTTACCTCAACGGCATACTGGAGGAGGGGAAAAACATTTTACACACATCTCACGGTGCTTATATACCACCGAACTATACAACAATATACGCGGAATAGTCGGTTATATTTTTTCAGGAGATTTCTGAAATAAGTGATTCAATTATGTTTCATGTTTATAATATTAATTTTAAACATTTCGGTACAATATAAAATTGTGAACGTGTGTGGACGCAAGATTGGACAATAAATTCGATAAAAGTAAACAATTGTATCTTGTATTGCTATACAGTTCTAGAAAGTATTGAGTATTTTATTTTACGATAGTGTAATTATAGCGTATCTCAAGGACGGATCAAAGATCTGTTTACGAAGGGGGCACTTAAATTAGAGAAACGTCTATTATATTGAATTTTTAATTGGGTATTAATTAAACCATGTACACATACAAAATTAATGAAAAATAACTATAATATAAATTATAAAAAAATCATACTATACAGATAGTGTTCTCAATTGTGCGCAATATTATTTATTACAAATAAATTATTTTTATTTACTACATCATAATAATGTAATACGTTGTATGTACAATAAATAAATACAAACATAATTATTTTTGTTTTTTTTTTTTTTTTTGGCAAACAGAGGTGGGCACTTGTCTAAAGTACTCCTCCCTGGATCCGCTCTTGATGCATCTATATGCTCATTTTGAAGCATTTTGTACATAGACGCCCGAAGGAGCGGCAAGGTGAATCATTTTCTCACCAGGTTTTTTAAAAAATACTAAATGGGATGAATTGTTAGGAATTTCGAAAAATATTTCAAATAAATATCCACCGCATCTTTTAAGACATCGCATTCGTGAAAAAATTAATTCATATTTAAATTATTATCGAGTATTTAAGAGCGTGTACCAGTTGCCTTCAAAAGTATATTTTTTATACCAATTTACTTTCCCCGCCAAATTACCTAAAGTAATTAGCTAGTTACCCTAAGTTACCCTCAGCCTAACATATCAGTTGCTCTAAATATAATATTATATACACACAACCACAAATCACAAAACCACATCTGTCGTAAAATAAGAGAGGTAAATTCTTAAGTAAATACATGTAATAAAATAATAATTTCAATGATAATAACAATTGGCATGTATTGTGTTTTGTCAAAAGAAAAAAAAAACAACACGAAATAATGAAAATATTATAAAAAATATTATTATATTATGACAATAACACGCTTATCGAGAATCATAATGACTTGTATCGAACATAATTGTTTCTATAGTCTAGAATTATTCGTTTTAGCGAAATTCCCTTCTTTGTACCTACTATATATGCGCTACTTTGTACGTTGAGGGCAACTGCTATATTTTTGAAATGCCGAAAACAGCTACTGAGGGCAACTGGTCAACTACCCGTATTTAAATTCATAAAATGTAAGTACCGAGTATCTCGTATTACTTTTTAAACTAGTACCTAGTATCTTGTATTCAGATGTTGAAAATCAATGAATCTACCCGAACATTGGGCAATATTAAATATTCACATTGTATTTTAGTTAATTTTTAAAAGTTTTAGTAATCCAATATTTATTTAGCTAGGTAACTGAACGTTATACTATATAATATAGTGTATATTATATCGAGAATCTAGATACTTAATTTGAAGTACCTTGTCCATCCGTGCATATAAGTGTATTTAACATAAGCAATACGATTAATCGATTCTAATTCAATTTATATAATAATATAATATCAGTGGCATGCCCAGGAATTTTCAATGGGAGAAGATGTAGCAAATAAAAAACGTAAACTCGTCTTCACTACCTAACTGGACTTTTGGGAATTCGATATTAAATTACTTCTATTTTTTTTATTTTTTTTGTATTTTTAAGCCAATAGGGAGGATTTAACCCCTAACTTCCACCCTGCGTACGCAACTGCATAATACAATATAGTGTCGCCGTTGTATTTATTTAATTTCTTGAATACACAGTATTATAATCTGTATGCGTAACACACAAATAAAATGAAAATCATTTTTAAATTAACACTAATAACGCTCACGTACGGGTGTCAACAATTAATTTTGAACTATTCAATTTTTTTTTTTTAAATTTAACACAATGCAACGTTATTGTGTTTCGTGTGGAGTTATTTTTCCGATCGCCCTGTATACACGATGATGTTGTAAACACGATGCATACCGCTCGCAGTTTTCGCCGGAGACGAGAACAAACCGACAAACCGCTTTACCGCCCCGGAAGACCGGAACTCGCCGCCGCCACGATTCGTGTTGTGAATACGTATATATACGACTTTATTATTACTATTACGCGTACACGAGTAATTATGATCAAAAACGACGGGTCGAGAAGTTTTCGCCACTCCTGGCCCGCAGTATAAAACATAATAATCTTTCGCCGTCCGCGTTATCCTTTTATAACTCGTAATATCCGAATAGGTACGTACATTTTAATTTATTTATGTATTATGCTCCACGAGTCATCGCACCGCGCGGTGTGTGCTCAGTGTAATTAGAGGGGACAAAAAAAAAAAAAAATATTATTATTATTATTATTAATTGTAAACAAAAATTATTTCAATGTATAAACATGATAAACTGCATATAGGTACGCGACTACAAAATTATAAACGTCGACTGATAACGTTTTCCATTTGACTGCACTCTTGCGCACTGTAGTAGTACGCTTTTTTTGCCTTATCAAGCTAAATAGATAAATTATTAGGTATACATACATAAAATAGCTGATACTGGGGACGGGTACGGCCGCTGTATTATAGGTGGGTAGTTGGGAAGGCTGGATAAATAATGTTATTCAATTAATGCGATAAGCCATTGATATCGAACAACGATTCGGAGCGAAGTTCGGTTACACATGTTTTGAACAGCCGTAATATTTACGATTTTCGTCAAAATTACTACATTACATTCAATTTTTTTTTTTTGACCAATAAGTACGACTTATAAAGAATCTCCTGTAAAATATTCAGACATTTTTGTTTTGTCTACAAATTTTATCCACAGAGTATTTACTAAATGAAGATTACGTAAAAATCTCGCATAATTAAAATGTTTATAAATAGCTCAAATATTTTGAAAATTTGACCACGTCTAGAAAAACCATATATCAGTTTTTTGTCAAAATTTCAAGTCTCTATGAATATTTTTAACTGAATCACATGAAAAACAAGAAAATTTAAAATAATAAACGAATTATTTTCGTACCATACTTTCGCCCATACTTTCTACGTATTTTTCAGTTTGCAGGATATTTGCAGGTGTTTTTCAGGATTTTATATATATCTTTATTTAATTTAGTAAATCTTAAATCGTGAAAAATCATCTCAGCACGATAAGTAATAACGTTGTTGTTTCAAATAATTAGTGATAAATTGATAATTGATAAGCATGATTAAAACGCGATTTACAGTAGAACCACGTCAATCATAGAACTTATAATAGTCTATGATGTTATCGCAGATGTGCAGCTGCTGATAGGTATCTACAATCACGGTCTAATGTATCGTATAAATGCTATATATGAACCAATGTATACCACTCCTTGAAAATGTATGACTTTACTACGTAGACTACATGTGATATATGATTTGTGAAACGAGTTTCGGGCCGATTATTATGAGTCATCTTATTGACAATAAAATAAAAAGCATACTGTGTTATATAAACAACCGTATTTTAACGAACTGCAAAATAGAGTCATCATTGAGCGTCATCATTAAATTTTTTCCCAGAATGTAAAAATTCCTAGATCCTCTTTGGAAATTTACGGTACACCTCCCCCCCCTCGGGGGATGAAGATCTGTAATTAATACTGATAACTTTCTGCGATGTTTTAACATATTATCGTTTTTTTTTTCTGTAGGAAATGTTTTCAAAGAGAATTATTGGAACTGTCCACTTGAAATAATAATTGCTTAGAACTAAGAGCTAACTAAAGAAATCGAGTTTGCGTATCAAAGAATAGTATTCTGCGAATGTATAATTGCGAATTGTGTATTTATATAAACATCGATTTTCGAGCACTGACAACGTACTCTTAAAGGTAGCGCTCGTTTTTAGAAAATATCAAAAAGAAGAAACCAGAGACATATACATAATATTATTTATAGTAAATAAATATATAAATAAAAGAAAAGAGCTGATTCCGGGGATGAGAGCGGCCACTGTTGTCGGTGAGAAGTTGGGAAGGCAGGATACATAAGGTTATTTCATTTATATCTGTAAGCAACGATAAAACTTTGCTTGACAAAAGACGATTCCGAGCGCAGTTCGGTAATACATAATTGAAGTTCCGTAATTTTCGCGATTTTCGTTTAAATTTGATTTCAAAACGCTTATTAAAAAAAAAGTCATCCGATGATTTTAGAAATTTTACCATAATTTTTAATTATAGTTAAGTTCAAGTACTATTACCAATTTTCAAGTCTCTACGTGTATTTATAACCGAACTACAGCAAAAAAACTCCCAAAAATTAAAATTCCTTAAAAGCTTAAAAGTGGCTCGAAAGTTTTAGCGATGACACCGTTAGAAAGTAAATCAAAACGGCAACAAAAAATATATCTTGTGATTTTTCGATTAAATAATTTTTTCTGGTAAAAAACATCGTCGATGTTTTTATAAATTAATGAACGTTTTTCCCCACTTGAATGCTTTTATTTAAAAAATGGCGTCGAAAATCAAAAACTGATCCGTTTAAAGTGCAATCTAGACAACTTGAGCTTTCAAAAAAAGTGCTACACGTAAAATCGGAGCAAATTTACAAGGAAAAACCTGTCCACGGACTAGAAAAAAAAAAAAAATAAAAAACATCTTAGTAAAGTCAATAGCTCCCTCGCTACGCTCGGAATCTAAAATAAACAATTAACTAATTAATGAATGCGTCGCCCGGAATATTATGATAAGTGTATTGTACGCTTATATTTATTTACGAGTATTAAACATTTTAATAATTTTGTTTTTGTTTTATCATTTTATTATTTAACATTGTTGATTTATAAGTATAATAAATTATATGTGCATGAAAAGCGATTTTTAGATAAAATACGAGGAGGTCTTATCCACTTATCAACGTATGCAATTCCGGAATAGTTGACGGTACTTTCGGAATTTCCGTACGACCAACGCGGTTTTTCATAACGAATCTAAGGACATCCGGCCCCTGGACCACGCACTTGCCTATCCGGAATCGTATTATTTTTTTTTTTTTTCTACAATGTTCCTACAGTTTTGAACTTCCGAAATTATGCGTTTCCGTGTTTCGCTCGCCGTCCGCCGCCGCCGCCGTATAATATAATAAAACGCGGGCGCGCGCGCAGAGTCTCTCGGGCACCCGTCGAAACGACAAACAATAACAATAACAACGGCACCGCCACCTGCAACGGCGATAACGACTCGACACAATAGAGACGATTTTTTTTTTCCTCCGCCGTTAACGTTCCGCCGGCGGCGGTGGCCGCGATTCCGCGCGTGCGACTCCGCGACGGCGAGGGACGTTCGGCCGACGCTGCCGCCGATTGA